TTTCGGTAAAGTCACGTAGAAGGGAAGTAATAAAATACTAAAAATAAAACATAATAAAACGTCGTGAGAATTATTTTATTATGTTTTATTTTTATTATTTTATTACTTCCCTTCTACGTGACTTTACCGAAAGAACCAAGACGATGTGGCGTTGTTCTCCTCCGCGTGAAACAAGCGGAGTGGCCGCGGCAGTGGCAGTGGCGCAGGGCAGCGGGACTGGGGCCGTCTCTGCGGCAAGCGGCCACCAACTCGCTCCCGCGTCGCGACCTCGTGACCTTGGCGTGAAATGAATTGCGGCGGGGGTCATTTGTATGCGCGTCTGTCTCGCGCAAAACCCTGCCTCGGACGTGTGCGTTGTCGTGTCAATGTATAGATGGGGAATACAATGACGCAATGCCCCTTTGGTTTAAAGAACACACGCGCACGCGGCCCCGTGTGTTACAACGCTTGGAATATACAACGTACAGTGATATTGGGCGCGCGCGTGTGTGTGAGTGGTATGTGTGTGTGGCGTGTTTGTGGCGTGTGTGTGTGTGGCGTGTGTGTGGTGTGTTTGTGGCGTGTGTGTGTGGCGTGTGTGTGTGTGGCGTGTGTGTGTGTGGCGTGTGTGTGGTGTGTGTTTGTGGCGTGTGTCTGTGTGTGGCGTGTGTGTGTGTGTGGCGTGTGTGTGTGGTGTGTGTGTGGCGTGTTTGTGGCATGTGTGTGTGGCGCGTGTGTGTGTGCGTCGTGTCTGAATGATGTCTGGGGAGCGGTAGTGTAGCGGTTAGCGCCCTGCCCTACGAATCCGGACGCTCGTGTGACGGATATTTAAACCGGTCCTGGGCCTCCCCTAGGTCGACTCAACCTCAAATGAGTACCTGGTGCGGTGTGTAAACATCAGCCAACGGGGAGACAAAGGCGGCCCGGGGTTGCTACTGGCCACCCACTCCCTCGTGTGCCGTGCCAGCCTTCATAGGTGCCGCTGGCTGACAGCGCTTGTCACAATAAGAATGTAACGGCTATACGGGTGGGGATCTTTGTCTTTGAATGATGTCTGTGCCAGAGGCGGGCATGGAAACTTCGCATGGGGGGAGCACCTCATGAATACACAACACATTTATCGTGTTTCCCCTCGCAAATATCAATACTCTACAAACGATGCACATGTATTTTTAACACGCGGTAGGATTTCGCGACATATAGTATTCATAATAAAGGTTGTTGGGTAGATCGCGTAAGTATGTGTCGTAACTTTCCACCACCTGACACAGCCAATTAGGGATTTGTCACGTAAGCCAAACGCCAATTAGTTACTAATTCAGCTCACCGGTGTGTTGGGGAGCAAATCCACAACATTTACAATTCGAGTACCTTTATAATGAATGTACACGTATATTGAACTTCTTTCGCACCCTACGTAGGCACCCGTGTTCATCGGGGGTGCGGGGGAAGGACAAAAAAAATACTTTTTTGCTGTGGATTTCACATCTGATGATGATTGCTTGTGTTGCAGTTGAAACGTCGTGAGAATTTTATTATTTTATATTTTAATTATTTTATTATTTCCCTTCTACGTGACTTTACCGAAAAAAACCAAGAACATGAATCCATGCAGTCCCTAAAGCTTTAAATCAAAAGTTCTAAAGATGTTGAGTTTTCAATATCGATGGTTTAAAAGTGCACAGCACCAATGGGCTTCCTAATATCGGAAGGAAGAGCGTTCCAGACGGCCGCAGGAGCGGATCTGAAAGCGCCGCGCGATAAAGCGGTAACCGCCGTCTCTGTTCGATGTTCCAGCAGCTAAATAAAAGCCGCTGCTGCTGCTGTGAGGATGCCCGGAGTGGCGTGGTGATGGTTTCTACACGGCCGGGGTGGAGGGGGGTGGTGGTGGTGGTGGTGGGGGGAGGTCGTGAGGTCAGCACGACGCACGAAGCCGCTTTGACGCTGTGGGATGCGGACAACGTGCCGGCCTGTCCGCCAGCCAGCCAGCCAGCCAGCAAAACTTTGTTCCGATGCTGCAAAGTGTGATACCAATTTCCGGAGCCTCTCGGGAGGGGCGGTTGCGCCCCCGCCTCCCCCTGGATCCGCACTTGCGTGTATGTCTATACACGAGTGTAATATAGCGTGTGTGAGTGATGCGGGATGTGATGCGTGTCGGCATGCGCGTCGTGACCATCGTAAATCAAGGAAATCACCGTCCCTGCTCCTCTGTCCCTGTACCACCTCCCTCCCTGCACCACCTCCCTGCACCACCTCCCTGTACCACCTCCCTGTACCACCTCCCTCCCTGCACCACCTCCCTGCACCACCTCCCTCCCTGCTCCTCTCTCCCTCCCTCCGCAGTTGCACGCACGAGCGAGTTTAAGAGAGGACGACTCCGGACGGGAGACGATCATCTCTCTCGTCGTCCCTTCTTACAAATATCACAAATACCACCTGCTGTCCCCGTTACAATCACAACGGCGGCACGTGAGTTTGCTGCCTACTGGCATCGCTAGCAGCGCACGTCCTCTCATTATGCGTAGATCATTTGCCAAACAACACCGGGACAAAAACCAATGTGGCTCGTACAGCCTCAACGGACTGTTGGGCCCAGTGTTGTTAGCAAGCACCTATTAGGACCGGCACGGCACAGGAGGGGGTGGGTCTATATATATGATTGTGATGTATGTTGAAATTATTTCGCACCGTACGAAGCCAATCGTGCAACAACAAACGCCGTTCGCCGCTAAGTGGCGGTGACGTCACCACGGCGCTTGTGCCAGGCTCGGTGCACGTTGAGGCCACGCGGAGTGTCGAAGGCCAGCTGGCAGGAGGTCACGGACCAGACCCAGGGTGTCATTGGTTGACTGACTGAGATGACTGGCTGATGCACCACCACTTGTACTCCCCATTGTGCCAACTGTCTGCGTTTTAACCTGCCCGGCGCTCCCCTCGTTGTGAGCGTCGCTCTTCTTATATCCGTTGTTGCTGGAGGGCGACTGCATCCAACTGCCCAGTAGCGTCCTTTACGAGCCTCGTGTACAGAGGCCGATCTTGGCACCGCTGGTACCGCGTACCGGTCATTGGCAAGTCCAATAAGCTCCACATCCCTCTGTACCACATTATTCCATCTCTTCTCTAGCCCGTGCCGCGCCCTATCACCCCCTTCTATTCGGCCAAATAGAAGCTGCTTTGGGCATGCGCTGGATGTGGCATGCGGGCTACGTGGCCCGGCCAACGCAGCCCCGTTAGGCGGAGGACTTGCACGTGCACACACATATGCATGGACACATTGAGCCCCACAATTTCCTGCCTGTGTAGTTGCCTGGAAGAAACTGCTTTGTTTGCGAGTGCCAGGGCGGCATGCCACTGAGATTACCGCTAATTACAATGCAATTGGAATTTCGAGAGATGCGGTTGGTTTGGGGGAGGCCTTTATTCCAGCAATGGCTTGATCATGGCTAATGATGCTGATAATTTTTGATGTACAGCCGGCGGCACATGTGCATCACTGGAAGCAAGGAGGTGCATATATTAAATATGTGTAAGAGGCGGGGGTGAGGGAGGGTGGAGGAGCGGTGGTGCAGTGGTTAGCGCAGCTGCGCTAAGAAATAGACAATCTGGGGGCGTGACATCTGAACGTCCCCTGCTCACACCATCCTCCAACTCACTCACCAACCCGCGCGCTGAAGTATGATCACCACATCACGTTTTGGAAGCCTTGTATCCATCATTGAATTGACAAACGCATTTATATTGTGATTACTGCGTTTTATTTCCGTTGGCGAGAAGAGAGTGAAAGGCGGAGCCGAACGTCTTGAGCCGTCACTTAAACCGTGACAGGGAGACGACAGCACGGACGGCTGGCGAAAGGGATTTTAGACAACAGGAACAGCAGAGGAAGAAGGAGCGACCTCCCACTGGGTGTAGGTGGACTCGGTGCGGCGGTGCATGGCTCTGATCTAGCTCTTGAGCGCTGGGGTTGATGGATCACACAAAGATCATTGTAGGCCGAGACTCCTAATCTGCCAGGCTAGGAGGCGGCCAATAGATGGCAGTACACCAAGTAGGTTGACTATATATGTGTGTACCATATATCGGATGGTTTGAGTGTGTATCCCCTCCTGGGCACAGCTTACGTAACATGACAGTGGTAAAACAAAATCATCAAGGGTACGGACTTCCTAAACCGAATCATCAGTACAGTAGCAGCACCGCCAATCCGTAGCATCATAATCGTAATCAATCGCCATTCCATCATCATCACCACCATCCATCAACCCCTGCCAATCGTATTTATTATTAATCATCAATCATTTATCCTTCCATCGGTCATCATTATCAATCGAAACACCTTTCAATCAACACGCATCCATCACGTCGTCGTGGATGGGCAATTCACAGCCCATATCTCGATTGGTAACCAGGATGAAGCTCATCTGCACTGCTATCAGCTGAAGGACTTCATATTGAAGAGTCCCCGTATAGCCTTCGCAGACTGTTGGGACAAATGTTGGTAGCGAGTGGCACCTATAAAGGCCGGCATAGCACACGAGGGGATGGGTGACCAGCACCACGCCCGGCCGCCTTTGTCTTCCTCGTGGCAATGTTTACACACCGCACCAATTACTCACGCATTTGAGGCTATGTGCAAAAACAAATATACCCCGTGTAGACTTATCAGACTGTTAGGGCAAGTACTGTTAGCGAGCACCTATGAAGGCTGGAACGGTACGCGAGGGTGTGGGTGGCCAGCACCACGCCCGACCGCCTTTGTCTTCCCAGTGGCGATGTTTACACACCGCACCAGATACTCGTTTGGGGCTGAGTCGATCTAGGGGAGGCCTAGGACTGGTTCAAATAATCGTCACCGGTGTTGGCCGTGAGCGGGAATCGAACCTGGGTCGCCAGGTTCGTAGCGCAGCGCGCTAACCACTACACTACCTCTCCCCATACTCAGGTGCACACACACACACGCGCGCGCACACGCGCACACGCACATACACACATACGCACACACACACGCTCATGTCACTTACGGCCTCGAGTTTTCGGAAGCCGTCCAGGGGCAGGAGATCAGCCGAGTCCTTGTGTGAGAACTGCGTGTTCTGCTTGAGCCGCCTCTGCTGGTGGAGCCGAGCGGCATTGTGCAGCTCCATCTCCCGTCGACTGGGCTCCGTCATCGTTACTGCTGCTGCTGTAGCTGCTGCTGCTGCTGAAGATGATGACAGTGGCGAGGATAAGGAGATGGGGTGAGTTTGGGTGAGGAGTTGGTGGTGGTGAGAGACCGATTCGGGGGAACAGAGGCTGTGTTGGAGAGCGATGATGCCAAGACGAAGCGAGATGCACAATTCTGGATCGTGGATTCTTCACACGAGGCTGGCGTGCGCACTCAGAGCTGAAGGCAAATTCATACAAATCCGACACGGCACAACTACAGCGGTATCGCTGTCCAGGCACTACGCTCCATACAATGAGTATTATTATTCGACACGAATCACACTGCGCTATTTAGTATGATGTAATATTTGATACCGTACGGAATGTCTGTAGGATCGGGATGAGTGTGTGTGCACACACGCGACAGCCCGTCTCGGTCTGCGCGCGTGAGGGATGTGCTCTCTATATATGGGCGCGTGTGTGTGTGCATGTGTGTGTGGCTGTCTGTGCGTGTGTGCGTGTCTGCATGTGTGTGTGTGCATGTGTGTGTGGCTGTCTATGCGTGTGTGTGGTTGACTGTGTAGAATGGTAGCGTAATGGTTAGCGCGCTGCGCTACGAACCCCAATTCGATTTTCGCTCACGGCCACCAACAGTAACGATTATCTGAACCGGTCCCGGGCCTCCCTTAGATCGACTCAGCCTCAAAGGAGTACCTTGTGCGGTGTGTAAACATCGCCACTAGAGAGACAAAGGCGGCTGTGCGTGGTGCTAGCCAATCACCCCCTCGTGCACTGTACTGGCCTTCAAATGTGCTCACTAACAGCACTTGCCCCCAAAAGTATGCTGAGGCTATACGGGGGATCTTTGTCTTTGTGATACCGCATCGATGGGTGGGGCTTGGGACAGAGAGGCGGGGCTGCGGGGGACCGAAGCGCGTTCTCCGTTGCTAAGAAACCGGAGGGGGGGGGGTGAGGGGTCGTGTATCAGGAGCCCCCTCCCCCTCTCACCCCCCCGCCTCCCACATGGATTCCCCCAGCTCCCCCCACGTGCCCCCCAGCTCCCCCCACGTATCCCCCCCCCCCGCCCTCTAGAACATGTTTGACGTCAAGACTTGTGAATAGATTAAATGGGGTTCTTGACGGATCTATGGAGAGCGTTTGAAATTAGCCATTGATGTTCGTGTAATTGTTGAATTTGGTAGTTGTTTTCGTGGTGGTGGTGGTGGATATCATGATAGTGGTGGTGGTGGTGGTCACACTGGTGGTGTGGGGAGCGGTGGTGCAGCGGTTAGCGCTACAAACCCGGCCACCCGAGTTCGATTCCCGCTCAGGGCCAACACCGGTGACGGTTATCTGATCCGGCCCTGGGCCTCCCGTACGTCGACTCAGCCTAAAATGAATACCTGGTGCGATGTGTAAACATCGCCACTGGGGAGACAAAGGCAGCCAGGCGTGGTGCTGGCCATCCACCCCCTCGTGTGCTGTGCCGGCCTTTATAGGTGCTCGCTAACAGCACTTGACCCAACAGTTTGTTAAGGCTATGCGGGGGATCTTTGTCTTTGTGGGGGTAATTTTGATGGCAGCGATGATTATGATTATGTAAATTGTGGAGATGATATCACCACCACCATCAAAGTTGATGGTGGTGGTGATTATGACGGTGGTGTTGGTAGTGGTGGGTGCGGAATTGATGGCAGCAGGGAGCGGTAAAGCATCGGTTAGCGCGCTGCGCCACTAACCCGTTCACCCGAGTTTGAATCCCGCTCACGGCCCACCAACACCAGTGACGATTATCTGAACCGGTCCTGGGGCTTCCCTTAGGTTGACTCAGCCTCAAGTGAGTGCCTGGTGCGCGATGTGTAAACATCGCCACGGGTGAGACAAAGGCGGCCGGGCGTTGTGCTGGCCACCCAGCCCGTCGTGCGCCGTGCCGGCCTTCCAAAGTTCTCCCTGTGAGGAGCAGCTGTCCTCTGGAAATATTTGCTAAACACAGCCACAGCGAGACGCATACTGGATGCGGTGTGCCGGGTGCAGGGGGAACGAATCCCCTGCCGTGTCTCCTCCGACGCCTGGGCACGAGTTGAACTTCTCTCACGGCGCTCGAGGTTTGTCGTACGGCCAGCAGCCCGGGCCATGCGCCTTTAATGAACGGCCCTGGCGGATTAAACAAGAAGAATACTCGGGGCCTGAAAGCGAGCGGACGTCGTGTGACGGTGAGATTTGTTCTGATGAAAAACAACCGCCCCCTGCTCCCCCCCCGGCTCCCCCCTCAGTGCCCCAGAGAGACATTGAGAGGGACAGAGGAGGAGAGACGAGGGGCGCGGGATGAGTCGTGATGAGCTGGGACGACGTGGATGGGAGAGAATACTGTACATAAACAGCCATTATCTATCCACTGCTGGATGGAGGAATCCTGAATCCGTTGTGTTTTTTAAAAACAAAATGAAGGGTAGTGGCCCTTCTTCATAGGGCCATTGCCCGAAACGTCGCCTGTTATTAAAAAATGTAAATAATAAGGCCAGTGTGTTGAGTGTTTTTGTTAACTGTGCACTACAGTCAACGCAGCAGCAGCAGCAGCATCACCAGGTTTTTTGAATGAATGAAATCAGTTAATTAAATCAGTGAATATGAGTTAATGAAATCAGTTAATGATATTCGTGAATGGAATCAATGAATTATATGAGCGAATTAAATCAGTGAATGATATGAATGAAATCAGTGAATATGAGTTTATATGAGTGAATGAAATCAGTGAATGAAATACGTGAATGAAATCCGTGAATATTTGTGAATTCAATCAGTGAATGATATGAGTGAATGAAATCGGTTAATGTAACGCCTGAATGAAATCAGTGAAGTATATAAGTCATGATAAAGGTTTGTGGGTTAGATCGCGTAAGTATAAATGCGTCGAAACCCTCCACCACCCGACACGGCCAACCAGTAAGGGATTTGTTACGTAAATAAAAAGACAAATAGTCACTACTTCAGCCCACCGGCGTGTTGAAGAGTGAATCCACACCATTTACAATTTGAGTACGACGTTTCGCTGGTAATTACATCCAGCATCATCGGGCGATTTGCCAGAATTGTGGCAAATACTTACGCGATCTAACCCAAATCCTTTATTATGAATATATTGGTCGCGAAAGTCTGCTCCGTGTTAAACTGAGATGAGCGATGCTGGAGCGACACAGGGGGCCGTGAGGTGGCCAAGCAGGGAGAGTGTGCGGCAGCCACGCGGAGGGTCCCGGGTTCGAACCCACCGTCGGTCTTGTCGTTATTATATAACGCGAGTATATATTTATACCACCGGAGTGACGTTCTAAAGTGCATGATGGATCAAATGCTCAGGAGGGGCTTGTTTGAAATACCTTATTTTGGAAGAATACGTGAAACTGACGATTATTTAATAACCAGAACTGGCCTGGCTTTACACCGTCCCCCTCGTGGTGTAGAGGGCAACACGGTGGGCTTTGGAGTGCGTGGCCCAGGTTCGAATCCTATGTTGTTTTTTTTACGTTTTTTTTAATCATTACGTAACAAAAAACATGAAGACGTCACCGCACTTAATTGTGTCACGCGAAATTGCATTCATGCTACGCGATCACGTAATTACCCCCACTCTTACACGTCCACGCGTGCAGTGGCAAGTCACTTTCCCAGTGCTAGACACATCGAGGTCTCCGTCGTCAGTGGGATAATGAAAGACGCACGCCACAGGAGTGCGACTGTGTCCACGCAGCCCAAACTATGGACCGCAGAGTACACCCGCTGTGGGTCTGCGCTACTTCAACGGACGAGGAACAGCGACACGGACACGACCTCTCACTGTCTCTCTCTCTGCTGAAGCCCTCTCGTCGTGGCCAGGAGACCTCGACATTGGCATTTATCTTTTGAAAAACGTGGCCATCGCCACGTCACACGCGCAATGCCATAACGAGATGACATCATCACGCCACGTGTAGCCCTGGCGTGTCACCGATGCTCGATGGGCGAGTGGGATCCACGCGAGGTTGACGATCATCGAGACCCAAGTTCAAATCCAGCTTTTTTATTTTTTTATTTCTACCGACCGAGTTTTTCTTTTCAAAACTAGTCCACGCTAAACACATTTTTTGTAATAAATATTTAAATTACTTAATTTTTTAAAAAATAAAACATCTGCAATGACTATGTTGAGAAAAGACGACGATTTAATAACCTAATCATTCAAAGCATACACCAAAGCCCTTGTGGTGTAATGGAGAAGCAGACCCCCCTTTAAATTGGGCAGACAGGTTCAAATCCGAGATTCCCCTTTTAGATATTTAAACTTTACGTGATGACGTCCTCGCGTGTGTTTTTAACAGCCACGTGCGCTCTGTGCAATAACTACACGCACAAAACAGCACACATCTGTGTGAGGACTTGGTGGCTCAAGGCGATGCGAGGCAATCCTGGAAGTCCACACGTGATGGGTTCGAATCCCGGGCACAGCGGCGAATATCCAGGAACATCAACGGCTTTCACGAGGCAAGGTGAGTGATATGTAATGTAAATGTTTCTCTCTGTGTACAATACTAACGTGTGTGTATGTCTGTGTGTACAGGAGATTGGAGTCCGAGGCATGGAGGGACTAGAGACGTGGACGACCTTGGATGGAGACATGGAACGGCGGGGACAAGAGGGCATGGAGGAAAGAGAGTAAGATTTATTTATTTTTGCCAATGCCACTAATACATTTTCACCAGTAGGGGGCGCTCTTCTACCGCTAGGGGGCGCTGTTCACTAGGGGGCGCTGTTCTATGCAGTTTCCCATTTAAAGTGTCAATTTATTGCAAATAAACCCATTTACGCCGGTTGTTCGGGGTATTGCAGCTGTACGCTATGGTTTGATGCAAAATCTCGGTGGAAACTCCACACGCAACGAAAAAACAGTAAAAGTGAAATTTACAATGACCACTTAGACAGGGTTTCGGTGCAATTTGGCACTAAAAGCTGCTATTTCTACAACAGAATACCACTACAAACACGATTTGCCTGAGAAAAATTCCGTTAAATGTTATAAAACCGGCTACATCTGGTTGTTTATATCTTTAAAAAAAACGTAAAACACTTAAGTATTGTAAAAAAAATCGTAAGACCCACCACGGATTGTAAAATGCACTCATCCAGCAGTGGATTTGAGATATTACTGCACAGACAGCGACCAGTCACGGGTTATGAATATTTCTGACTCCACGCAGCTCTTTAAACCCCACGAGGGTTACGGGTAATAACCTCTTTCACAGCAACATTGTTCGTAAGCAAACAACCACGGCGTCTAAAAGGCAAGAATCAACTTCAAGTTCTCAACCCCAATTGCGAACTTCACAGCGAGTGAGCAACACGAGGAGACCACCCTCCTCTCCCCGTCTCTCCCCTCTCGTCTCGCTCCCCTCCCCGTGCCTCTCCCCCCTCTCACCTGGCTCCACTCCGCTCGCCCGTGGCCCCTCCACTTCAGCGGCCGAGGCGTCCTGGCCCAGACCCCCAGCCAAGCTCCACCCCGCCACGGTGGTGGCTCCACTCCTCTCGGTGGAGCCGCCTCGACCCCGACCGCCACCGCCAAGGCCCCTCCCCCTGTCCGGGCGCGAGCTGAGCGCCGCCTCCCCCTGCGACTCTCTCCACAGAGCGGCGCCCCTCTCCCAGTCCCCTCCTCCTCCCCCCTCCTCCTCCTCCCCCCCTCCTCGCGTGCCACGAGCAGCAACAGAGCCCCGCTCCGATGTCTCCCCTCGCTCCCAGGACAATTGCGCCGCCCCGCGTTTGTTCGCCGCCTCGAGACGCAGCCGCTCGCCCGCGGGGCGCTGCCCGAACTCCACGCGGGCGCTGCGGCTGCGCCGCACGGGATTCTTCGCTGCGAGTGTCGCCCTCCGGTGGCGTGGGGTTGGCCCCCTCGACCCTGGTGCTCACAGCGAAGCACTCAGCCCGTGCCGGATGAAGCTCGTGCGGGGCCTGTCGCATCTGTTATAAATGGGCACTAACATAAAAAACACAAATATTAAAACACAATTTTTGTTACTTGCATAGTAAAGTAATTGTATTTTTTTCATTTTCTATACAGCCAGATAATACGACAAATCACTAACATTAAAAACCCAGTCGTTTCTAAAAGTTGAAGGCGGTATAGTACTATAGTAATAGAGCAAGTGCAGAATCACTGCACCGGAATTGATAGCTTGAAAGCATTTAGCGCGGGGCCTTTGAAAGTGCGGGGCCCGTAGCATGTGTAGCTACTTTTGCTACGATGAATCGGCACTGACCGCCTGGGTGAGAGCAACTCCGATGAGCACTGTTGGTTCATCATCCACACAGCGCCCCGTGCCGTCTGACTGTGAAAATAAACCCTGGCCGTGGTCACCTGGGAGCGTCTGCTCACCTCTCTCGCCTGGTTGTCAATAACGAGGTCCACGCGTGACAGAAGCCACTCCTCGTCACCCCGCGGGGAATTCATCACCAACGCGCGGGGCTGCGTGGCTGCCAAGGGGGCGTTAAAGATCCCGTGGGGATGTCAGCACTAACACATCCAGGCGAAATGCGATGACACAGCGACTGTGGCGTGTGGTCACGAGGTTACATTCATCTATATATTTATGTATAGTGACAGCAAGCACTGCCAAATCATCCGATATCATCACATCTCAAAAGCTACTCAGTGTTGAGTCCGGGTCGTGTTTTCATGAACAACACGCTTTTAATGTTCCTGTTGCCCATCCTACAGGTTCAAGTTTAAGTTAATTTATTAGGTATAGCCCTGTGAGCCATTCGGCTCTTGAATCGGGTGCAACCGCAACAAACAAAAAACATGAACAAGAAAACATCTTAAAGTGACTATGTGACTATGTGCAAACTGAAAATCCAGAAAAAAAACAGCAAAAATTCCAAAAAAAAGCACCGTACATCAACGCTGTGTGCAAAAATCCCAGTGGGATGCAAGTCAAACAACAACAACCACAAGACAGGTGTCCAAATGCTGACCGTTTCCTTCTCATCACTGCCTGCATCATCAGGCCATTCCTCTATGGTGCAACCTTTTCCTTACCTTGGCCACTCGTTGGGCCCAGCTGATATGCAGTATTCTTATGTAGCAATACATTTCGGGTGCCAATATCTGTCTCAGTCTTTTTTTTATGTCCAAGTCTCGCATGTTGGACGCATGTTCTTAAGATGTTTCTCCACACGAGATTGAATCCTGGAAGTACTGCTCTTGCCTTTGCCATCATCGCTCTTCTGTCTTTCGTGCAGCCGTCGTATCAGATCAAGAGACTTCCCAAGTATACAAATTCCTTTACATTCACAATCTGTCCGCTTTCGATTACAGGCGCCACATTTTCGGGACCTGGCCAACCGACCAGACACAAAATGGAGAGATCACTTCTCCCCCCACCCCTCCCCCTGAGTGGAAACAGATGTACAAGCCTCCCGTAGCCAAAGCGTGCCAATTAGTTACTGCTGAAGTAGCTGCTGCTGAAGTACTAGCTAATTGGCACGCTTTGTTCACGTGATATAAACCTTACTAATTGGCTGTGCCGGGTGGTGGTCGGTTAACAACACATTTATATTTCCAGACATATAATCGTGACCAATATCAAGCTGACAAAACGCCCAATACCCATGTCTGTCCCTCCACATAAACACATTTCAGTATTTTATAAATCATGTTTTAATGACTAGTTTGTGCCAAGCATCGATGAGCGAGATGAATTGCTATTACTACTTGGTGATGACGACGATGATGATGCAGCTGCTGCTGTGTTAGCAGTGGGGCACAAGGACAAATACCAACTCAACACGTTTGTCAATAAAACCGCGGCCTTAAAAGTAAAAACATATAACAGACGACGTTTCGGGAAATGGACCTCCTTTAAACGGGCCACGGTGGCGAGATGTTAACTACTTCGCCTGGTATACAGGAGGTTGTGGGTTCGACCCCGACCCAGATGCCTGCCGTATATTTTAAGGTTGCGTGTTCTGTTCTCCTCGTGGTCGTTTGGATGTTTCTCCGGGTCCTCTGGTTTTTTCCCCTCCACATTTAATCAACAACACGCGTTCAGAGTATTTGGCCGCTATACATTTCCACCCGATGGTGATAACCAGGTTGCTTGTGAAAAATTGCTATATATCGCTCAGTGGGCCTTACCTGAAAAAAATAAGATATAGTTTATATAAAAAAGAAATACCTTAATCTGGATGTACGTCTCAAAAGCCTCCAGGGTACTCCCCGATAAGATAGAAAGCTGAAAGTTGGTACATATGTAGCTTTTAAGACACAAACAACAGGAACAATCTGAATTCTGACATTTTCCAGTTTAAGGCCCCAAATCTCGATTGTAAGTGCCCCATAAAAATGTTTGTGAGTGTCTTTCAGAAACCGTTAAAAATATAAGATTGCTGGTTTTTCCGTTTGATAGAGCGTTAAACCGCAAATTACATTAAAACGAGAACCATTGTTCTATCTTTTATTGTTTTTGAGATATTTCAAATTCAAGCGGGTTTGAACCAAAACAATCCGCGTTTTATGTTCAAATCTGAATAATTTGAAAAAGGTAAAAGATAGGAGCATCCCCTCGTACAGTATTAAGGTCATTAATGTTTGTTCTTTCTAATACAAAAAAGAACGGAATATTTAAATTGAGCGGTTTCCGATGGGTACATCTTTAAATATAAGAAGTTGAATCAAGTTGTCGACCATTTTTTGAGTAGTTGTTAGTGTCTGATCGCAGATTAAAAATTATAAAATGAAAAATGGAATCAGGTTAATTCTTACATTTATTGAAAACCTTTGCCTGGCGAATACAGGCTTTTTGTTTTTACAAACTACAGTTTGTAAATACAGCGTGGTTATTTATCTCGTAGCAACAACGGGTGTGGGACCAGGGGAAGGTTTGGTGATGAGGGCGGTGCCGCGCGTTGCCATGTGGCGCCATGTGGCCACGAGAGGGCCCACAGCGAGGCAGTTGCTGCCAAAGCGGCGGTGAAGACGGCGGCCGTGCAGCAGCAGAAGCAGCAGTCGGGAGATAAGTCGCCTCGGCCTTCTAACTACGCCGGCCTTCTTCTCACGACGCCGGCCTTCTTCTGCGAGCCTCGCCGCGAGCAGAAGCCACGAGAGCCGAGGGCGCTGTCGGGCTCGAGATGGCGCGGCACAAGTCGGCCAACAGTTGAAGAGTTTGCGGGCGGGTGCCGGGCGCCCATGGCGGCCTCGTCCTCGTCGCTGAGACGCGGGACCCGAGGCTGTGGCGAGAGGGGGGGACGAGGCGAGGGAAGGGGGCGACGAGGCGGCGGTGGCCGCGGTGGACGAAGAGGAGTCGAGGGTCGGCGTGGAGAAGTCGGCGGCCGGGCCAGCAAGGCCGAGCTCAGCTTCGTGGGGGCCCCGAGCCGCCCCCTCGCTGCCGCCCCCAGCGGCCCCCGTCGCCTCGGCCGAACCGCGCCCCCGCCTGGCCCTGGGAGGGCCCCCCACGGCCGCATCGGGAGCCCCCCTTCGTGGGTAAGGGGGTAACCTAAGGGCGTCTCGAGTGTGCCTGGGAGAGTGTGCTGGGCATGCGAACAAGAGCTTTGTAGCTCATCGGATTCTTCCGGTATCTGATTGTGGACGTTCAGTCGCTAACTGCACTTTGCCCAACAGCCTGTTGGAGCCTACACGGGGGATCTTTGTCTTTAGGAGTCGGTTGGCCACCCGAGTTCGATTCCCGCTCACAACGAAATTATTGGCGCATATCTGGAGCGGTCCTGGGCCTCGCCTAGATCGACTCGGCCTTAAATGAGTACCTGGTGCGGTGTTTACAACATCAGCACTGGAGTGGTGCTGACCACCCATACGGTTTCCCCGTATTGTAGTACAGGGGAAATTGTGTGTTTCTGCCTTGTGACGGGACTTCGTACGATGAACGTTGAGATTTATTAGGGCACGGGGTGACCAATAAGGTCTGACTTGGTCTGTAATAAGGGCACTGATAAGGCAGCTATGCGGGCATGTGTGGGCAAGGCCGCACCAAAGTGGAGTCTTTGTATAGCAGAGTAAATTACGAACGTCATACTGATACAATAAAATGTTTTTTTCTATTTTCAACCCCCTGTCCCCAAAGGTGATCTCGCAGTTTCCAGGCGGACTGGGGGACCGTCCTTTGGGAGGCACAGGCCAGTGTGGAAGCCGCATCCCACATCGCAGAGCGCCTACGGCAGTGGCCACCGGGAGGGCCATCCCCTCCGGCCGGTTCCTGCCACTGCAGTTCCTCGTTTGCAGCAGCAACAACAGCGGCAGCAGCAGCAGCAACAACAGCGGCATCCATCGTTTGCCTGGAGCCCGCAACTCGAAGGCCGCCTCTGTTGTCTGTGCAGCTGTCGGCTGTGAAGCTTCTGAGACATCTACGCCCGAGACATCTCCTCCGTCCGTGACGTGTGGGGAATCTCCATGCGTGAGATCTCCCCGTGTCGCCCCAGATTTTCAGCCAAGGTCTTCGAGTTTAGAGAGGAATGCTGGGAGCAGACGGTGTAGGAGTTCGGAAAGTGGGCAGAGAAAAACATCGGAAAACGCTCACTGCAACAACGGTTTAACAAAGGTTCAGTTGACGAGCTTGACTGCAATTCACGGAAATTTTTCAGTAAACGGTCACATGATAAACTCCAAAAATAGTCACTGTAAAGATGTTTTAAATAGCCACTCCAGAGATTCTGTAAATGGCCATGTACTATATTCTGAACAAAGTCACTTGAGAAATTCACAAAACAGTCCCTGCACCAACTTGGAAAATGGTCGCCCCAGAGGTTTGGAAACCGGGGCCTCGCAAATCGGCCACAGAAATCACGGCGAGCGAGCGTCGGGAGCGCGCGACACGCGGGCGGACGACAGCGGCCTGAGGCTGCTGCTGGACCTGTCGGCGCCCTCCGTGTTGACCCCAGACTGCAGCCACCACCTTCCCGCGGACAACCTGGCGGCCATCGACGTCGGTCGCTCTCCGAGCGGCGCAACGCAACGTTGGGGGGGACGCGGCGAGGGGAAGACGGCGAGGGGGACGACGCTGCCGCTGCGGCGGCTGCTGCTGCTGGATGACCCGGAGGACGACTCGAGCCCCCCCACGGGGGGCCCCGTGCTGGCCGAGGACACTCCCGAGGAGATGCGGGTTAGGTCGGGGGTCGCGTTGCGCCGTCGCAGGAGGGGATGGGCAGCCGGGGGGTGTGTACCGCGGGGGCCACCCAGATGTATAATTCGCGACCTTGGCGCGGCGCTTCAGGTGGAGGAAGCGGGGGCTAGACAATCTGTCCCAGGTTTTACAATCTCAACGTGTGTACACGGGGAGTAGTCCATGATACTGATTGAATTACAAGATCGATTGTTGCTGCTGCTGCTGTTGCACCAGTGTTGGGCTCAACAAGGGCGGTTTTCCTGGGAATCCGCGTGGACTGTGAGCGCACCGTCTGGTAGAGAAAGCCGTGAGGGTGAAGCTACTGCGATCGCATTTCAGTTTGTCAATGAATCCATCTGCCTTGTCACCTGAGACTGCGAAACCGCCAGGATTGGAGTTTGTAGCTTCCTCAACCCGATTTGACATGGCTCGCTACATCGCTGGTGGAGCTCCTTTGTAACCACGCTTCATATATCAATCTTGCGCCGTGTTAGCACCCAGTAGTGTGGTATTAGTCGCGACTTAGGCTCTGCTCCTGGGAAATCCCAAGCGTGGCTGGGACCACGTTCGGAGCCGACTCAAGTTAAGCACGTGGCTTTGAGCCAGAGCCGAGCCAGAGCCAAACACTGACTCGGAGGCAGGGCTGCCTTGTCGACTGATATAAAACCAAACCATTGCAAGGCTCTACGATATTAGTTGCACTTATTGGACAGGTAATGCATCGTTGAAAATTTATAACATGGGCTGTACAAGTAGGTGATGGCAGGTGCATTTACAAATTCAAATGCTATTTTATGTTTATATCAATGTAAAAGCATCCCTATCAGTTTTTCCAATTGTCCTACGGTTATACTGGATCCCATCATAGTAATGTGGAATTTCCAACGACGATTAAGGCTGTAGATGGGGGGGGGGGGGAGTGCCACCCCATGGCCAGCGGAGCTGGAAACCGGTTTGAGCACCTTTGGCAATGACCGAACGAGCCAGTTGGTGGCGGTGGTTGAGAAATATTTTACATTTCCCGTGAGAGTGAAATGGCACCACCCGTAGTTGATATTGAACTCGGTCTTCCACTAACTAAAGTCTCGCTCTGGAGGTTTCCAGATTTTCGGATTAATCTGCAATTTCTGAAAACGGCCTGAGATACAACATTTTTGGATGACCCTAAATACCATTATCACGTGACGTGACATCAACGCTGCTCTTCCTGCAGAAATAGGGTGTCAGGTGGCATCAGGTGATGTCGAGGGAGGAAAACGCGTTATTACATCATGGAAGCAGAACGAAAATACAAAGTCTATTTTTTTCAAACTCACTGCTACACTGCAGTCGGCACGTGATTGTTCCGGGGTAATGTGAGGGATGGCTTTGCTGTGTAATCCACGCATTATTGTTTAACCGTGAATTATTGAATGCTGGTGCAGGTATTTTATGCACGTGTTGGCGGGCCCTCACCAGTGCACACCAACCAGCTTGGGGCATTACGGTTACATAACCCGCATGGGGAGGTCACTCGTCCAGCAGTGGCTGGACAAAGGGGCCCTGCACCTGCACAGAATAACCAGCAGCAAGTGGTGCTCAGCTCCATTAGATGAGAAATCGGTGGAAATTACACATTACTATGACAGGGGCCCATCCTAGTGGATCAACCACTTCCCCTCCCCCCACCTATTCAATGGTGCTCGCGATATGCATGCTAGTGACCATGGAGAGATGATGACCCTGGCTTGGAATAGAACCTTCAAGCAATTACATTTGAGGTCCTCTGCTGTCCAATCCAAGTGTTCTCTAAACCTGAATTATTGGCAACTCCACACGGATTCAAAGAGTCGGGAATGACGCTGTGTGTGTGTATCTTTTTTACACTTTGTATTTTTTTACCAAATGTTTGTAAAATTATTTTTTGAACGTGATAATTCTGTGATGTGGATGATATTGTTTAATTATTTGTTCATTTGCACATTAAAGCCACTATTAAATTAAGCCGATGGATTTTGTAAATGGAATTTTTTTTGGATGTCCATTGTTGCTCTGGTACTCGTGACCAAATCTCCCAGAATGCACCCAATCCCATCAGCCCTATCAAGCAAAGCAGGTGTGAGCCTGGATTGCACTTGAATGGGTGAACACCACACATCCCGAAAAAACCCGTGAGGGTCATGGTGACGAATATAAATAAAATAGATCGGACATCGTCTCCTTCATATGTCTTTCCAAATTAAAAACAAAAAGTGATTTGTACATAACCCATCGGCCTTTTTGTCATGCATTATTTCAGCAGTACAGAGTACAGTACAAGCAACATTCTGGTCGAGTTTTAACACTCAAGTCCATGTCATCAGCAGTCAAACGTGCGTGAAATAATGCTGAACTGCCAGATGTCATTGGCAAGGATAAGGGTTCAATATGTATGTAACCCACCCGAATAATTTGCGTCGTTCGTGCATAATATAAATCGCCATGCGCAAACGTGCCATGGTCTGTGAAGTACAATCCATCGTACTGCGGTTCTATTCTGCCAGGTCCATCCTCCCACCGCCTTTACTAACCAACCCGCATTGACCAGCACGGAGAAGTTGGTCAACTGACCAGCACGGTGTGGGAAGGCTGTCATCCAGCAGTGGATGTGAGATGTGCGCGTCGCTCCTGCACTCGATGGATTTAATCTCACTCCAGGTCGCTCCACGCGATGTCGAACTCACTTTATTAAATCCAATTAAAATTCTGCAGTGTAAATTACGCACGTCATACTATTAATAAAATAATTGCAAAACTGTATAAGAATCCTCGTGAACTGATTAAACAATCGGCAGATAATTCGACTCCGAAGTTGTGATTTAAAAAAAATAACCGTGAGGTTTCTCTGTCCGCCAGGGTGCGCTAATTGTGCACAATCGGCTTCGTGCAGTTCTTATCTCACCCAGCGGTGAGGCTCAACTTCCCAGGCGACAGGCAGCAGCAGCCACGGTTGTCTCGCCCGAAACCGCCGGAAAGTCACCGCGGCGCCAGCTTCTCGGTAGCCGTGTCACCAGACTGCCCAGTTCCCGTTCCCACAACCACCACCCACACTTCGTCCGTCCCTGCCCAGTATTTTGATGTCGCTGCCCGAGGGGAGGTGCAACGGTCGGACGCGCCGTGCCGAGTTCGCCGGTTCGTTTGGATCTCCCGGCGCGGCGGTTCAAACAACGGTGCGAGTTTCTTAAATCCCCCCCCACACCGCCCCCCCCAGCGCCCCCCCCCCCCCCCCCCAGCGTCCAACCAGTAGTAAAGATGGGTTCACAGTTAAGTGGATCGGTAGGCCGCAGTGCAGTGGGGTAAAGTGTGGGTACTCGAACCTATTCCAGCGGGTAAGACAGGGCCAAAACACCCTCTGGAACGGCTCAAGCTTCCTCCGGTTGCCCATCGGCTTGCAGTGACGTCGGCAAGCAAATTGCAGGGCCGCACCTTTCTCCGCTGCCGTTGGTAATATTTTTGTATTTCGCTTTCGCAGAGCGTCGGTCCGTTTCCTTGTGCGTCAGGCGTTCCACTCCCGCCTCAAAGCAAGCTGGCAGTGGGGCCCTCTCACCACGATGCAAATCTGATGGAGGCGGCGGAGCGCCGAGCGTGCCGACCGGTTAGGCCGGGAGGAAGCTGCACGGTCCGTCGCCCCGCGCCGAGACTCGGGTCTCTACATCAAGGCTCAACGCACCGCCTCGTCCATCCGTCCGTCGGTGCCCACTCTAAACTCGCCAACGTCGCCGTGCATACGTGTGTGCGTGTGGAGATGGAGCAGTTAAATCGGTTCGTGTGACCGGTGCTCAGGCGGAGGATTGTTGCATCGCGAGGTCGCAAGGTGGCGGTGGTGGTACTTGCGGAGGTGGTTGATGACCATCACGTCGCTTGTGTTTTTTATTTTGTTTTAAAAGACCAGGAGGCACGTCACAGATTTTGTCTCGATCGTGGGGCGTAGGTGGTGACGATCCAGCCGCATACGGTGGCAACGGTTCAGCTGCAACCACGACCGCCAACAAATCCCCGAAGTCCTCATGGCGGGGAGGGGGCGAGTGCCGGGGCTCATACGTCCCTCCTGGCAGTCCCTCTCCTCGATCCTCGCTGTGAATTCCTCCTGCAGGAGAAACACGGGGGGGGGGGGGGGGGGGGGGGAGGAGGAGTGCGCGGGCGGCAGGTTTACGTTACAGCAACCGCTGGCTTTGGCGTGCGGTGTAATTGTCACGGTTTCAGGTCGGGTTTTGTTACCGCGTGTCGCTGGGCATGAGGTCCGACGTTTCTCTCCTCGTGCCGGGAGCTTCTGGGGTGCGGGGAGCGCTGAATTTAAAATCGGGGGGAGGGAGAAAGCGAGACGCTCGGTTCAGTTGTTGGGAAGAAGTTCCCCGGGCGCGGGGCGAAACGTCGGACTTTGTACGGCGCAACCGCGAAACCCCGTGACGGTGTTGGGACTCTTGTGACCATTTTATATTCGTATTGCGCTCGCGCTGCCGTGTCTAAGAGACGAAGACCTCCGCTCGCCTCGACCGTGACCGCGCCCGGCTGTTGACGGCGGCAGAGATCGACGACGATGGGAGAGAGACAATGCTGGGGATAAAGCCGGTGCCCCACCACAGTTGTCCATCGCCGCATCACTGGCTGCTGCTGCTGCTGTCGCTGCTGCCGCTGCCGCCGTCAGCCACGGTCACATTCGCTCAAATTCATTTCATTAAAAGGAGAAGGGCCACAATGGCACTTCTTCAGGAACCGCCGATGGGTTTTTTTGTTGCACGTACACAAATTTCTGGGCTTTTTTTTCTACACGTGTCTGCGTTGTTGTTGTTGTTTGAAGCGTGTGGTTTTCACAGCCTGCGCTGTTGTATTACAATGGGGGTTTTCTCATCATTTCCAGATTTGACTAAGATTAAAATTCGTCGATGCGTCTGCCAACAGCCCCTCTTCTTCACAGCGGCCAGTGTTATGGCAAACCTGGCGAGTTTTTGGAATTGTTAAATGTGCTCATGCACCACTGTTAATGTAGCAGCGGCAGCAGCGGCAGCACAACCAGATGACATTTCACCAAATTAACGGTCAGAGCACAAGATTGGTGTTGACGAATAGTCAGAGTGAACGGCAGTCCGTGTCCGCTGTCGTTCACGATACACGAACGCGGTTCGAATGTAGCCATTTAATAAATTACACTTAGGCCTCATGTTTTTTGGGTCTTTTGGTAAAGTCACCTGATGACGGTCGCTTGTGTTGCGATCGAAACGTCGTAGTTTTCCATTTATTTTGATAATTTTTTTAACCCATCTACGTGACTATACCGAAAAACCCAAAGAATACGAATTCCTGCAGTCACAAAAGCTTTAAGTCAAGATTGATGCCTCCTCGTCGCACCCGAGGGGTGTGCGTGTGTGTCTGTGTGGTGACGTCACTGGGAGCGAGGGCGCAGTGGTTCGAGAAGTGCACTGCAAACTCCGCGGCCCGAGTTCAGTTCCCGGCCACGGCGAACACCAGTGGCGATTATTTGAACGTGTCCCGAGGGCTCCACTCGGTCGACCCAGGACAGCATTATTTTGATGTAGTCTCTGTAACGTGGTTGTTGTTGCATCGATTTCTGTTGGTTTCATTGCTGCACTTTGTTTTATGTTCTTGCTTTTGTTTTTGTGGCGACTCAGTTCACTCACTTAAGTCGATGCTGGTCTCACCCGGTGACACAAAATGCACTTCAAAATGAAACGAGTGCCTGGCGAGATGTGCAAACATCAGTGCTGGGGGAGACAAAGGCGGCCGTGCGTTATGCTGGCCACACCATCGCGGCTCTAAAGGAGGTCAGCTCTTGGAAGGGGGGGGGGAGGCCTCTTTATCTGTGTCTGTGAGTGTGGCGATGCTGCACAGAGGGAGCAGCGGTCAGTCAGGGCGAGTGGAAAATTGGCGTCACGAGGCTCCACCGCAACCGGAGCCGGGAGTAAAAGTTTAACGAGAGGAGACGAGGGGATGAGGGGAAGAGGTCGAGGGAGAGAGATTTTTTTTTTTTAGTCATCCTTCCTCCCTCACCGCACCTCCGATTGACACGGTTGGTTACGTACGGTGTGAAAGAAGTTCGACAAAGTAGAGCGAAAGCAAGGCCTCGATTAAAGGGGAGCATGCAAAAAAACCCAAGCTTGGGCATTGCGAGTTGGGCTACGTTTTGAGCATTTCATCTCTCAGGCTTTTGCCGGCAGGGCTGGCCTCGATATCAATCGTAGATAAACCTCAGGCGGGAGCCACGGAGACCAACGAGAGACAACGGGCGAGCGACCAGGAGGAGGTGGACGAGGAGGTGGACGAGGAGTCGCGCAGGGTGGAGCTGCTCACCCCGTGTACGGTGGTGGTGGGCCGTCGTACTGCCCCGACACCTCCATGGCCTGCTCGTAGGAGGGCAGCCCCAGCAGCTGGTCGGGCCCCGCCATCATCGTCGCCGGATCCTCGCGGTCGGGGGGCGGCGGCGCCCTCGGCTCTCCGCTCATCTCCATGTCGTCGTTGCTCCTGGTGGGACACGGGCATGCCGACGAGCGGGAATATCGGTGGGGCGCTGACGCGGGGTCGTAAATATGTCCAAGCCTACGTGTTAAACGTCCTTCATGTTACCGGTCACGGGACCTGTGGACTGGCCACTGCTCGGATTTGCACTTCTGCTCGACTCTGGAACTGCCTCACATCGCCTCTTTCACACCGCCCACCCCCTTCCCCAAACCACCCCCCTAATCCCACCAAGTCCGTACAACCTTGCTTATTTCAAGAACACGTTCAACTCTTTAATCAATTATAGCAGCTCAGCTCAAGATTGCGTCCGTTTCCTTTAACGAGGCGAGAAGTCAAAAGCGTCGCGTCGCACCACCCACTCCCCACGACAGCGAGCGAGCCAGGCCGGCCCTGGCTGGGCCCCGGTACCTGGTGCCGCCGCGCGGTTTCCTCCGGTACTTGCAGCAGTAGGCGAAGACGAGGCCGATGAAGATGAGCAGCACGACGGCCGCGATCACGCCGGCCAGCAGGCCCGGGATGTTGAGGCCGGAGTTCCCTGCGCGGAGCGATCAGACAAGACGACGACAAACACCGCAGCCTAGATTATAACAACAATTATAAAACGACGACGGCGGCTGCGTCAACTTGTAACGCCGTGCCGCCACCGCTCCTCGCTCTCGTAGAGAGAGGACCACTGCAGAGTGCACGCTCCTCGTAGATAGAGGACGGCTCGGAGGCGCCAGGGGGAACCACAGACGAGCAGGAAGACGGCAGCAAGGTGGTGATCCGGCACCAACAGTTTCCCAAGCTCTGCGGTCCCCGATATATTGAGATGTTAACGGCCAATTAATTAGTGACGCTGTACGTAAGTCCACGGATCTCTATCCGAGTCCAGGGTCTCTTTGCGAGTCTATGAATTGCGACAATTCCTCGAATCGCGAGGGGACTGCGTCGTTATCCCCACCCCCCCTTAGGACCTGGACGACGCCAATCGCGGGACCTTTCCTGCAGAGGGCACTGCAATCCATCACAGCTGCAGGGTAAAGTCTCAGCCCAGCAATTCTTCACTCGTGCCGCTGCAGGGGGAGTCTCCGTGGGGGCATTTGTGGTCCGCTCTCCCACGCAACCCAGACGCCTTAGAAAGGTGGGGAGGGGGTTCTCACACTTTACCCCACCACACGTGACATGCCGATCGATGAACTATTATCCGTTTACACCAGCTGGGTGGACAGAGGCTCGGGGGGCGGTGGGCATTTCAGGAATCTGTTTCTCAGCTGCCGCACCGTGAGATAAAATCAGACCGGCGACGTCTGGATTGCAAAGCCCCAGTGCCCGAGCCGTTACCCCACAGCAGCGTCCACGATCGCCAGGAGGCGAATCGTTTCATCTGGGCGGCACGGTGGTGGTGGGGCAGCGGTGACGCTCGTGCCTCGTAGTGGCAAGGCCACAGGTTTGACTCCCGCCTGGGGCTCCTCTCTCTCTGTGCGGGGTTTCTGCGGCCGCTCTCGCCCTCCCCCAACCTGTTCTCCATGGGTTTCCTCCCCCATAGCTAAAAAACACGTGGAATGGAACTGGTGGTTGGCCAAACATAATCCCAATGCTGAAAAATCACAAGGCAAATGTATCAATTGGGATCAAAGACAAAGATTCACCCGTATAGCCTGGACATACTGTTGGGACAAGTGCTGTTAGCGAGCAGCACCTATGAAGGCCGGCACGGCACACGAGGTGGGTAACCAACACCACGCCCAGCCGCCTTTGTCTCCCTAGTGACGATGTTGACACACCACACCAGGTACTCACTTGAGGCTGAGTCGACCTAGGGGAAGCCCAGGACCGGTTCAGATAACAGTCACTGGTATTGGCCATGAGCGGGAATTGAACTCGGGTTACCGGTTCGTAGCGCAGCGCGCTAACTGCTATGCCATCACTCAATTGGGATCACACGCAGCAACATCACATCCCCTGTACTGCGAAAACTTGGCAGGACCCTCCTGAAAAGAAGTCTTGAGACTCAGCGAGGCTTGCCTGACTAAACGAGCACATTAATAAAAACAACAATATAATTTAATTTAATCGGCTTACCTGCAGATGCCGGATTCATATACGTTTTCCAGAAGGCGTTCTACAAAAAAACAACACACACCACGGGGAACGATGATTATCCCATCGTTACGGCAACGATAACCACGCGACGCTGAACAACGCCTCCAAATGTGGCCGCTATGTAACACAGCAGCGGCAGTAGCACGCTGCACATGAGACTGGTCTACTGGTCTCGCGAACCCGGCGGGGGGCGGGTGGGGACTCACCGTCTTGACCACGCCAAGACATCGCGCAAGGACTGTGGGGGGGGGCGGCGGGGGGGGGGACCCACCGTCTTGGCGTCATCCTCGAATATCTCTCGCGCCTCCTCGTAGCTGCACAGCTCCTCGTTGCACTCACGCTCCAAGTTGTCGGGCTGGAACAGCTCAAAGTCCCAGTTGTTGGCGCGCAGCCGACGTGACAGGTACGAGTTCGCTTCCGGGGCGCCCAGGAACGCTGTTGCAATGTGTACGGGTGGTGGGGGGGGAGAATATATTGCATTGTTAAGTGAGCAATATGGATCGTTACTTTGCTTTCGTTTTTTAATCCAGGCAAGGCACACCGAGTCGTAGGACTCTTTCTCAGGAGGGTCCTCTTAAGTTGACTTGGGCGGGGGGGGGGGGGAGGCGGGGGAGGCTGTTGGACGAGACTGGTGATGGAACGACAGCCAAAGGAGAGAGAGAGTTCCGCTAGAGTTGACCGCCGAGGAGACGGAGCGGTGAGATGATACCACGCGGTGTTGGAGCAACATCGATGGTCGGTTGTCGCTTCGCGTGACCGTGATGGATGGTGATGACATTGGAGGGGGGTGGGGTGGGAGAGGTCTTAATCCAGTAGTGGATAGATCACGGTCGGTGATGATGATGATAATAATCACATGCCAAATTGTGACATGGCTGGGGCAGATCAGTCATGGAAAGATGGAGTGGATGGAACCGTAGATGTTTGAACGTTATTGCAGTCAAAATAAACCTTGAGTGGCAAGTGGACCGGTGAATTGTGGGTAAGAGCTTTGAGCTGCCACCACCGAGATCCTGGGTTCAACATTTCAGCAGCCCGGAACTAGACGAGGTTCCCGCGTCGACTGAATCAAACAACCCCCTCGACTGATACGACAGCAGATTAAGAGAGGGCTGTACAATTTTTATGTTTTTGTATTTTATCGACATGCTTGGATAAAGGGCTGAGGGTAAACCCCCAACTAGTTAATGAACTCACAAGCTCCGAGTTGAGTGGCCAACGACAGCGCTGCCCGTTTGAACCCCCTATCTACACTTTAGTTGCGCTTAAACCGGAGGACTGGAATTTACAGTTTGCACTTTATCTTCCGAGGTCCCTAACCCGTGTATTTGTCTTCTCAGAGCTCAGAAAAAAAACCCAGAGTCCACTTCTGTTGTTTCCCAATTCTGTTTACACATCTTCTCTCCTCCCCTTGAGCACGCAAACGCTCTTTGTTTCAGCAACCCGGGCAGACACCTCGACCAACCTCCGCACGCAATGGGAGGTCGCTCCTCATCCGTTGCTGGCCCCGGCGGTCTTGAACTCATGCCCGCCAGCCATGTGCGGTGGAACCCGGTTGAATCGCGGCTGGCTGAAACCTGGATTCTAACCCAGAAGTGCAGCATTGATGGCTCAGTGTCCCCATCACGGCCACAACCAACACCACTTCCCATTGGCTGTTGTGTGTTTAATAATGACTGTGATTTTTTCGCTTGCTTAGCATCTCGTTCGAGAATAATTTTGACCTTAAAATGTCGGATTAAATACTACGCGCACCCTACAGTCGAAGAGTCGGTTGCGTTGTATTAAAAACAAGTTGAGGTCTTCATGAAACGCGTCACGTCGCCTGGGTGACGGAGACACGGTTTTGATTTCACCAACGGATAAATAAACAATATATTTTAAAATAATAAAGATAATTCAACAGCTACACGGCCCGAATCAGGCCCATGGGCGTGAACTCGAGGCCAGGAGAGAGTCTCGTGAGCAAGAGGGACCTGGGTCACCGTGGTGACGAAAGCACGCGCATGAAATGATGTAAATGCGATGAAGGGAATCAGTGGTGGGAAAAAAACAGCCAAATAGTAATCAGGGCAAAAACAACCTTGTTACTAGACACACGCAAAATGCTGCACGATACGGAAATAAACGTTACATAAAACTGATTTCTTGGCTCGGTTGGATCGCTCATGACTTATGATGATGTCGATGATGATGTCGATGATGACGCCGATGATGACGGCGATGATGTCGATGATGACGGCGATGATGACGTCGATGATGACGTTGATGATGATCATGATGTAAACAATGACGGTGATGATCACAAAGGGGCTTGCGGACGGGGGCCTCTGCTCACTCACCGTGCTGGGCATTGGGGTTGCCGCCTCCCGGCTGCCCCCCACTGGCGGCGTGCAGCCCTGCCCCTGCCATGGGCAGCAGCGTGGAGAGCAGCGCCCAAGCGAGGGGAAGCCGTGCCCCGCGGAGGGGCTCGGCCGATCCTGACATCGACCCGGGCAGCGCGGGGTCCACCTGGGGGCAGCGGGAAAAGCCGCGGTCAACTTTACACTCGGCCGCCGGTTGTCGACCGAAGGTAGACACGCGTTGGGTAGAAACTGCAGCCGTAGCGAGCAGAATACTGGACGTGGTGTGCCGGGTTGCCGACTCCACACCCGACCTGACCCGGCCCGGCCAAAATAAAGCCCCGGAGCACAGAGGTGGTGAGATGAGATGTGTGCCGCGGGAAGGCGCGCACAGGATTTACACCTTACACACCCTCTTATACCTACACTGAACAACAACGATCCCCCGTACAGCCTTTGTTAGACGACTGGGGCAAGTGCTGTTGACGTGTAGCACCTACGAAGGCCGGCACGGCACACGAGGGGGAATGCCGAAGGCGTTCATCCACCCGTGGATTTATCGTGGCTGATGTTATTGTCAATGAGATAGTGACTCCCTGCGAGGAGGAGGGAGGAGGAGGGGGGTGAGAGAGAGGAAGGAGGTTCAGCCAGAGCCAGAGAGAACCGGCTCAAGGCAGGATTCCCGCGGCCCTGGTGGCTCTTGGAATGTATTCAAGAGGCGCGTGGATGAGGGGAGATGGAACGATGGAATTATTTCGCGTGCAAGTGCCGGGCGGATTGTGACATCGCGCGGCCACGGCGACTCGGGGAGGATTTCATCCAGCAGTGGATCGACCATGGCTGATGATGATTGATGAATGAACAACAGAAAATTTTATTTTTAAACATTATATTGCTTTTGAGCCACATTGCAGATGCACGAAGACACGAGGATACTTAGAAAACACAGATTCGCAGAACAGGCCACACTATTTCAGGCATTTCCTTCCACATTTAGAATCAACATCCGTTTAGAGCATTTGGCTGCTATGAATTTCCACGTGAAAAGCCACTTCGTTTGAGCAATCATTTGTGATGGTCAGTTAGTTTAGTTTTGTAGTTTAAATGTGTTGGGGTCTTTCGGTAAAGTCACGTAGATAGGTGACTTTACCGAAAGACCCAAAGAATATGAATTCCTGCAGTCACGAAAGCTTTAAGTCAAGATTGTTATATTTCTATTTAAAGCTTTCGTGACTGCAGGGATTCATCTTCTTGGTTCTTTCGGTAAAGTCACGTAGAAGGGAAGTAATAAAATAATAAAAATAAAACATAATAAAATAATTCTCACGATGTTTCGGCCACAACGCAAGCAGCCGTCCTCAGGTGAGAATTATTTTATTATGTTTTATTTTTATTATTTTATTACTTCCCTTCTACGTGACTTTACCGAAAGAACCAAGAAGAAGATTGTTATAGTTTAGTTTCGACGCCAACCAGGAAGGGAGTTTCACAACAACATCTGCGCAGTGATCCACCAACCTCCAGTGCTGGATGACAGACCGCGTACCCAGAGAACATCACCCCAGCACAGTTCAACTTCATCATCACCACGCGGGTCTCTTTGTATCTCTATGGGTCTCGATGTAAGTCGACGGCTTTCTATGCAAGGCAATATAAATGTTATAACCATGACCTTAATATGTTGAGCGCCTTTCATACCACAAGGTGTAAAGGCCACGTCAGACGAGCGAAGAACAAACATTCACATGTTGTAACTAAACATCAGAACATTTACAAGACAGTAAAAATCATTTTATAATGCCAGAATAAAACCAGAAGGCAGAATTACAGAAATAGGCCTTAGGCATTTATAAACAAGAACCTCCGCACCTCCGATTTTAGCACGGTTGGCTACGTACGGTGCAAAAGAAGTTCAACATACACACACGTAGGGGCGAAACCTATGACGCGTTCGGACAGGGAGCCCCACGGCCGCGGTGCCCGAACACGGATCCACCACCACGTCTCCTCTCATCCCAGCCTGACCTCACAGAGCGCAGAGCTGCCAGCACCACCACGGTGAGCCGAGAGCCGAGCTCACTGTGGACGCAACACGAACTCCCGACAGATCATCTGGCGCCTTTCAATTTCGCGATTTAAACATCGGTAATCGGATTTAAAATTTTATTCCGTGATCGTTTCAAACCGATTTTTTTCCCCATTCGTACGTGGCCATCTGTACACGTTCATGGGATCTACGTGCAAGTCCACCGGCCTCTTTTTAAGACTACGCAAGTATGTGCGTCTCTGTACGAGTCAAGGGAAGTACACGGGTCTGTGAAAATTTATGGGATTACGGGTCTTTACCCAACTCTGTAGGCCTCCGTTTTCAGTCGAAGGCACTTCGAAGCTCTCGGGTTTGGACCACGTGCCGTTTGGTATCATGCCCCAACACGTCACGCAACCAGAAAACACGTGGCCGCCAAGATCTACGCAGTCGTATATGGGCCTCCATACAAGTCTACGGCACCTTATGTACGGACACGGATCTCCATTAAGTATCTATGAATGTATTCGAGTACATTGGTCTCCATTAAGTATATATGGATTAAGTCCATGGGTCTCTACAAAGTATCTATGCATGTAAGTCCATGGGTCTCCGTTAAGTACTGTATCTGTGAATGTAAGTCCATGGGTCTCTATGCAAGTCTACTGGACGTTTTGCGAGTCTACAGGTTTCTGTGCAAGTCTACGTTTCTCTCATTTGCTTTGAGGCAGGGCCATTGTTCAATAACAACAACAAAAACTGTGCACCGCTTTGCGCTTCCTTCCAGGGCCACGGGGCGTTAGTGACGAGCGTGTCAAGTTTTCTGTTTCTCCGTTCTCCTCCTCTGGTTCTCTGCCCAGCAGCAGGTCCTCGGCTCACGCTGACAGACCTAACGACACATTGCTGCTGTACGCGCAGCGCAGCACTGCGCGTACACGAGCAACCCAACTCGGCCTTGTCCAGATCACCGGCTCAACAGAACTGGAACGTGCGAGCCCGCGTCGTCGTTGAGAACCATCACGAAGTTGAGGAAATGTGGCCATCCCACAAACAGAGCAAAACAACGGCAGCAGTGAAGCGGACAACCGGAGACCGGCTTCATCCTCACGAGGACTCATCAGTACAGAACAGTCACCAATGCTCAGACATAACATGCCTGTAGGGGCCCTATATATGTAGAGATGGCTCAAACTTTCTGTATCCCCGTTAAACAAGTAGGCTTTCGCGACAAAATCTCATCCATAATACAGGTTGTGTTGGGTTAGATCGCGTAAATCTGGCTGTCGCCTGATGAAGCGAGTTGTAATTACTGGCGAAACGTCGTACTCAGATTGTAAATGTTGTGGCTTGGCTCTCCAACACACCCTTGTGCTGTACTAGTGACGAATTGGCACGTTCTGTTTCCGTGACAATCCTTACTAATTGGCTGTGTCGGGTGGTGGCGGGTTTAACGACACATTTATATTTTTATGAATCCCATCTGCTCTCAACGCCCCCCCCCACCTCCTGTACAAAGGGGATTACTCCCCATGCAGGGCCATCCATATGGGGAGTGCGTCCCGATTCGCTGTACTCTCGAGACGCCTCTGTCTGTACCTGATGAAGCTCACAGCGGTTTGAGCGAAACGTGGCGGGTGATATGTTATTGTTGCTATTTATTGGATCCAGTCACCAACAGTCTAAAGTCACCGCTGGTAAGGAGCAGCTGTATCGTCAGAACGTGACCAATACATTGGCACGTAAAACGGGTAATCATAACGCTACCTTTGTAAACGTCACAATCGTGTTGGGGTGGTGGTGGTGACGCTAACGATAAGAATTTGCATGGAGCTACCACGTGGCCCTCACCCAATTGTGGCGATGTTAGCCCGTGCGCGTTTGAGGACTTTAGGTGGTTTCCCCTCGGCTTCCTCATCAGCGTCTTTTTAAACTTCAGATCACACTACCACCACCACAAGCAACAGGTAAACCTCATCACAACAACAATAATAATACTGCTTTCCCTATGCACGCCTTGTGGGAGAGGCGGTGGTGCAGAACCGCTGGGAGTGAAGTTCCATTCCCAATCACGGACCAAAAACAGTGGCCGATATTTGAACGAGTCCTGGCCTTCCCCCTCGGCCACGTGCCTTGTGCGGTGTGTAAACATCAGAGACTGGGGAGACAAAGGCGTCCGGGCGTGGTGTCTGCCACCCACCCCCTTGCAGGCCGACACATGGGTGCTCGCTAGCGGCTCTTGCCCCAGCAGTCTGTTGAGGGCTCCGTGTGTGGCATGTACGCCGATTAGCCTCCATGCACGCCGATGTATCCTATTGAAGATTACGTAACACTTTGTATAGGGTATCCACGGCCATGTAAGTGCCACGACACAACCACGGCACTACCGATGACAATAGCACAGTACGGCACTGGGCACGGGGTGGCCGGCACCCGTGACGCAGGGCTAAGAGCGCCCCAGAGCTGACCCGAACCCGGCCACCCGAGTTGACCTCCCGGCCGGGAATGGCTCAACATCGACGGCGGCGGCAAGCGAGAGGATCCGAAACCTCTCCCGAGGCGCTCCCTTCCACGCTTCACAACGCCGCACCGACCAGAGTGGTGAAGTATGGTCAGGCCAACAACTCCACCACGGCCGGACCCGACACACAACAAGGGGAGGATTCCATCCAGCAGTGGATCGACGAATCAAAGCCGCGTACAGAACACACGGCGCAGTAATCTACGTCTCTTACCGCCGGGAGAACTGATCCGACGATTCTTGGTCTCCGCGTGCCCACTTCCACGCGGCTCAAGATCCCCTCAATCCAGCAGTGGAGAGAGCAGGAGGAGGAGGGGGGGGGTCTTGTCTCTCTTCGCTACCCCGGATTAGAACGCTCGCATTCCCGTGTGGCGGAGCCGGAACGGAGGGCGGTCATGGAGCCAGCCGGGCTCGATGGAGACCGCGTCTCCAAATCCGAAACGATTCCTTCTGCGATGACGACAGCTTGACGAGGACTGTTGTGGTTGGTGGTGGGGATGAGGTGGTGGTGGTGCTGATAATGAGGTGGTGGTGGGGATGGTAATGAGGTGGTGGGTCTTATCCCGCTGCGTGTTCGCTACGTCCTGTACCCAGCCGCCCCTGGTTGAATTGCGAGGGGGTGAGGGTTGGAGGGGTGAGGGCTGGGGGGGCGTGCGGTGATGATGATGCTGCTGCCGGTGGGAGGATGCGAGGAGGCGGTAGCAGCAGGAGGAGGAGCGGGCAGCTCGCCGAACAAGTTCGTCGAGACACGCCACAGGTCTCCCTCCCCGCATCTCTCTCTCTCACCCTCACCCACCCCCACCCTCCTTTCTCTCGCTCTCTCTCATCCTCACTCACCCTCACCCTCTCTCACCCTCTCACTCCCTCTCTCTCTTTTTATGATCAGTGGAAACAAGAAGATGCTCGGTGTAGTCGGCACTTTGCTTCGTTCATCATTTCATATTTTTTTTATCTTTGCTTTATGTAACCCCCCCTTCTCCCTCTCTCTCACCCTCTCGCCATCCCCTCCCTACCCCCGAGCAAGCTCCCACCGCCTGTGGCACATCACACTCTCCGGCACGACCCCACACCCACCAATCCGATCCGCCCGCCCCCCAACTCCCCTCCGCCCCCCTCCTTTCCTCCTCTCCCCACCCTGGATAACAAACATCGAGTCCCTTGGCTGCCAGCCAATCTCTCTCTCTCTGCGTCGCGCTCAGCGCTCAGGAATCCGGAGCGAAGCGTTTGCCCGCGGCGCAGAGAGCGAGTTACGTGGAGCATCCGTGACGAGCGGGCCGCCGCCTCCTCCTCCTCGCCACCGCGGGGCGAATGCCCGGACACGAACGCCGCGGTGGAGCGATCGGGTGTGCAGGCGGTGCAACTGCGCAGGGGCGCACGGACCCAGTAGCCCCCCTCCCACCACGGCGTAAGGCACTACCACGGGAGTACGAGCTACGACTATTCATAGCAACCCTGTATTATCATGCCCTACATTTCGATAATCCTTTGAACAGGTGTGTGTGTGGACAAATTACTCGTGTGCGGGTCAAAGTAAGGCTGCGGGATTGATGTGGTTTGAGTGCCAAAAATAATTTCCGGAACAGCGTTCGAGCTAAACTTAAATAAGCGCTGTCAATATCTTGACGTGAGCACGCCAGGATACACGTGGCCTGTGCGTGTGCGGCCACAGCATGTGACGACCACGATCCATCATTAGGCGGTAGCACTGCACCGAATTAGAGAAGCAGGCGAAAGCCACACAAAGACAACCATCGCACACAATCATCTCATTATGCGGGATGGAGTGGGCAGACAAGAGCAATACATTGAGTTTAACAAAAAATTGTATTGTCTGTGGTCAATCGTTATAGCCATCAGCGGGGTATCGCTGTGCTGTTCTTCTATGCTCCCACGTGTGTACTCCCCGCTATCACCTATCTGCACCGACCAGCGTGGTGAAGTATGGTCAAATGACCCCTCCCACCTCATGGCCCGCACGAGGTGAGGAGGCCCTCATCCACCAGTGAGATTTACAAATGCTGGTGACAAATCGCGTGGCTAGGGGGTATCACGCCGGTTTGACCCCGAGTTTGACCCGGCCAGTTCTGGAATTGGCATTTCTGTGTTGAGGCAGCAGCAGTAGCAGCACGTGTGAAAAACAACTGGACATCTGTGAAAAAGAGCTTCATTGCTCATCGGATTCCTCCAGTATAATTACATCTTCTGATTCGTGCCGAGATCTGGTGCGGCTTGCGTGTTGATATCTGCACTGCCGTGGCTTTTGTCAGAGTGCTGGCTGAGAAATATGACTGCCTTTCATCGAGATTGGAAGGTCTGGCAAAACCCTTAGTCTTGGGTCATGTTCAATGCTCTGTATGTAATGGCAACATTGTTTTTTAACATGTAAATACCGTAATAGGGTTTCAAAGACTCATGGACTGGTATCCAATGTTTACCAGAGTTCTTCACTGATTTTCAGAGGGGGGTCCACTTTCGCCCATAAGCCATGAGTATGAGGGCCGCTACACATTTGAAACCATTGGGGGGTTAACAGCAGCAGGGTGATGATGATGGGGGTGTTGTCACGTGTTGTCTATTGTCGAGGGGCCGGACTAAATGCCACCAGGGGCCTTACAATAAATAACACCGGTTTACCAGTTTCAATGCAGCACTAGAGGCACCACCTATCACAACAATGTCCCGCGATGAACTCTAACGTGGAGTTCCAGTTTCAAGGGTATTACTGGTAGGAACCACCTGGTTCCACCAGCCCACAGGGGATTATTGTGTCCGTCCGTCGTGCATCCAAACATGAGAGGGATCGGGCTGGGTGGAGAGGGGAGGGTGGGGAGGGGCTGGTCACCCCGTGGTGCCCTTATAAAACTCAACGTTTAACCTACTCACGCCGGCTTGTGCCCGCCCTCACAGTCGGCCATACAGTATTTGCGGAAGGCACCACGCCGCCGTTGACCCTGGCCATTGACCGAGCAACCCAACGTTCCTACCAGCTCCCTCCGCAGGAATGAGTTTTGTTTGACCAAGGTTGAGTCTCAATGGAAAGAGTGACCTTGGGCCATCGAAATTACAACATCAAAAACAAATAAAGTTGCAGCAATAAAGCAAACAGCAGCGAGAACAAATACAACTGGGGCCACCATCATGACGAACACATATCCATGTTGAATAATTATAGACGCCATGGAGCGCGAATCGCCTCGGGAAGATACTTTTGTCGTACTTTGATCCTGGCAAAAAGGGCATCTCCCATGATGTAGCTGCTCACCACGAGCTAGAAATGCTCTGATAGTGCATCGCCTTTGTGCTATCCGCCTGTTGGCGTTGTGCTCTGGTGTGACACTGGTGGTGAGACTCGGCCATAAAGAAGATTGTATCTGGTGAAGTAGGCCAATCAGTTTCCAAGACAATGACTATATTATCAGAGCGTGTTTTATTTGCGTGTTCGCCACACGTACGTGTGCTTAATGCAGACTTGATTCCTTGCAAAATGAGTCCATTTGGTGTTTGAACATCTGGACACACCCTGTTTTATTGCCAGAAAGGGTAAAACCCCCATTCTTATTTGTCATGATGTTTTTGTTAGACCGATCACAGCACAATTACAAAATAAAGTTACAATAAATACTGTGAGGTATTGACCTCCCATCATCGGTGTACCGACTGATTGGCGTGGCGTGGCGTGAGGCGTGAGAGGCGACGTGAAGCGAGCGACACCACGGGGCGAACGCGCCATGCGCGAGACACTCGGAGACACCAACACAGTCCGCTGGCCTCCTGCCTGCGCCTTAGGGATGCGGGGGGTGATGTTTACTTTAGCGGTAAACATCGCCTCCACGGCGCTTGGGTTCGACTCGGGCCCTTCGGCGTTTGGCAACTCAGCAGCAGCAGCGGCGGCCACACCCCGCTGATGAGACGCAGATAAACCGAATCGCGGTCCCGGTTTAAACAAAGCGGCGGCTCGCGGGCGACTCTGGTACATTTTATGGTGGTTAGCTTGGTGGATAGCGTGGTGGCTATTGTAGTGGCTATTGTGGTGGCTAGCTTGGTGGCTATTGTAGTGGCTAGCGTGGTGGCTAGCGTGGTGGCTAATTGTAGTGGCTAGCGTGGTGGCTATTGTGATAATTATCGTGGTGGCTAGCGTGGTGGTTTGCTTGGTGGCTTACGTCACGACCGGGAAATCCGCGTGATGCCACCGCTTCTTTGTTCTTCGAGGGTGGATCGGAACGCGCGGCTTGCGTGATGAGTCATGGGGCGATGCAGTTCAACGCTCGCATTATTCTCATTTAATTTTTTTTTTATTTTCTCTTGGTGAGAATTGAAAGCAATCACAAGCGTCAGGAGGAGAATGGTCACATTATATTTTATTAATGGGGGAAAATATGCATTGAAACGGCAATATTACAACACACAAATGGTGTAATACGCCAGAGTATTAATCAGTCACTCAGGTTGAGGTGTAGCGGGTATTTTGGTTGTCTCATATGCTGGCAGTCCAAATCACTTTCAAATTGTGCGATGACGTCACACGCACACATCGACGCGAAGCCGTCAAGCCGTGCGTGATGACGTCGGCGCGCGTGTACACAAGGCCACGTGCGCCCTGTCACCACTAGGGGGCCCTGTCACCACTAAGGGGCCTTGCCACCAGAGGTCGCAAACGGGTTTTGATTCCTTACCCGTACCTGGCCGCACCAGGGTCGCAAACGGGTACCCGTACCCGGCCGTACCCGTACCCTACCCGTACCCGGCCGGGTACGGGTAGGGTACGGGTATCGGGTACCTGATTGCGACCTCTGGGATGAAGCCATGCTGCAGGCGCAGGTGAGTTGATTCTAGGAACTTGAAGTGTGAGAAGAGACAAGACGTTGGGAAATGAGTGACAGTTACTTACCAGTGACTCACGGTTTACCCGTACCCGGCCGGGTACGGGTAGCCGGGTATCGGGTAGGGTACGGGTATCGGGTACCCGGTTGCGATCTCTGCTTGCCACCACGAAGAGGCCCTATCACCACTAGGGGGCCCTGTCACCACTAGGAGGCCCTGTCACCACAAGGAGGCCTTGCCACCACTAGAGGCCCTGTCACCACTAGAGGCCCTGTCACCACAAGGGGCCCTATCATCACTAGGAGGCCTTGCCACCACGAAGAGGCCCTATCACCACGAGGGGGCACTGTCACCACGAGGAGGCCCTATCACCACTAGGAGGCCCTATCACCACGAGGGGGCACTGTCACCACGAGGAGGCCCTATCACCACTAGGAGGCCCTATCACCACGAGGAGGCCCTGTCACCACTAGGGGGCCCTGTCACCACGAGGAGGCCCTGTCACCACTAGGGGGCCCTATCACCACTAGGAGGCCCTGTCACCACTAGGGGTCCCTATCACCACTAGGGGGCCCTGCCACCACTAGGGGTCCTGTCACCACGAGGGGTCCCTATCACCACTAGAGGGCCCTGCCACCACTAGGGGTCCTGTCACCACGAGGGGGCCCTGTCACCGCTAGGGGGCCCTATCACCACGAGGAGGCCCTGTCACCACGAGGAGGCCCTGTCACCACAAGGGGGCCCTGTCACCACTAGAGGCCCTGTCACCACGAGGAGGCCCTGTCACCACTAGAGGCCCTGTCACCACGAGGAGGCCCTGTTACGAGGAGGCCCTGCCACCACGAGGAGGCCCTGTCACCACTAGAGGCCCTGTCACCACGAGGAGGCCCTGTCACCACTAGAGGCCCTGTCACCACGAGGAGGCCCTGTCACCACTAGAGGCCCTGCCACCACGAGGAGGCCCTGTCACCACTAGAGGCCCTGCCACCACGAGGAGGCCCTGTCACCACTAGAGGCCCTGTCACCACGAGGAGGCCCTGTCACCACTAGGGGGCCCTGTCACCACGAGGAAGCCCTGTCACCACTAGGGGGCCCTGTCACCACGAGGAGGCCCTGTCACCTCCAGGGGGTGCGCTTTTAGTGTCCACCACGCTATGAACCTCCACCGTGTGTTCAACGTTTCAGCAGCACGCAGTAAACCCCGAGATCACAGTCGCAACGCGCCGTGACACCGTGAAACGGCAGCGTCCGTTTATTGTGCCTTGTGGGTTTACTCTCCTACACAACCGGTGTTCCACCATCACCACTACACTAACGGGTCACAACAACACACGCACCCACAGACTACTCACCCACCTACTACTCACTCACCCACTTACCCACCACACTGCAGGTCACCTCACTTATGTCGACGTATTCCCTCGCAGTGCTCCAATGTGGACTTCCCTCTCGTCTTATAATCGCCCTTCTCAATTCAACTAACTTGTTCACTCAAATATTACATCTTCTGTGTTGCTGGCGCTTCAAACACAACAACCATACACAACAACACACAACAACCATACATAATAGACTCAACAACCACACACAACCTCCCATACACAATAGCACAAATATCCCCCGTATAGCCTTAACATACTGTTGGGGAAAGTGCTGTTAGCGAGCACATATGAAGGCCGGCACGGCACACAAGGGGGTGGGTGGCCAACACCACGCCCGGCCGCCTTTGTCTCCCCAGTGGTGATGTTTTTACGCACCACACCAGGTACTCATTTGAGGCTGAGCCGACCTATGGGAGGCCCAAGACCAGTTCAGATAATCGTCAGTGGAGTTGGCCGTGAGCGAGGTCACGGTGCCCTGCCCACGAGGTCACGGCCAGGTCAACACCACCCTGCGCGAGCACGGCGCCGTGCTCCGCCCTTCCCGTGCCCCCCCCCCATCTCCCTACCCCCCAACCCCCCACCCCCCCGTATTGCCACCTTATAACTCTACCCCTCATCATCTTCCCACCTCATTTTCCTCCCCCTACCTCATCCTCTCATCTCATCACCCCACCTCATCCTCCTGCTCCACCAGCCAGCAGGAGAGCGAGCTGGCAATTGCAGGGCTGTGCCTTGATAGCTTCGCATACATCTGCCGTGCACCTATTCGTCGTCTTGATGTCGTGCGGGCCGCTCATGTCGACGCAGATCAACGACTGCGGTGTCACATCGAGGTGCTCAAGTCCAGACGACGGCGTCAGGAGCTGCGGAGTGGTGTCGTCGTCCTCGCTCTGATGTCTCCTTCTTCACATTTGTCGATCGGGGAATTGCGTCGCGTGGTCTGTTCTGGGTGACCACGGTCGCACTATGCCGGAGACTTGTACTGGTAGGAACCACCTGGTTCCACCAGTCCACAGGGGATTATTGTGTCCGTCCGTCCGTCGTGCATCCAAACATGGTGACGGTGGGCCTGGGTGGGGATGGGAGGGGGGAGGGGCTGGTTGGGGGGGTCTGGGTGGGGAGGGTGGGGAGGGGCTGGGTGGGGCTGGGTGGGGGGTGGGGCTGGGTGGGGTTGGGTGGGGGATGGGCTGGGTGGGGGTGGGAGGGTGGGGGGGGGAGAGGGGAGGGTGGGGGGGGTGGGGGGGTGGGGGGGTGGGGGGGGGGGGGGGGAGGGTGGGGGGGTGGTGGAGAGGGGAGGGGGGGGGGGCTGGGTGGGGAGGGGAGGGTGGGGGATGGGGCTGGGAACACACCACGCCGCCGTTGATCCTGGCCATTGACCGAGCAACCCAACGTTCCTACCAGCTCCCTCTGCAGGAATGTGTTTAATATCCCAACTCCTGTATGGGGCGGCGTTGTCACAACCGCTTTACGCCGCTAGAGGGCAGCACTGACTCAACAACACCGCGATGAGAACGCAATGCAGCACGGTACCGAGATTCGGAATATTCCTACGAAGTTCGTACGCACATTTGGTATTCGCATGATTCCTTGAGCGCAAGGCTAAATGGCAACTTCTGTGATGTGACTCTCGTTGGCGAGGAAGCGTAAATCTTTCATTGTTTGCACTTAAAACGAAGCAAAACATCACCGCAATGTGTTCCGCTGTGATTCGAGCTGTAATTGTTATTGCTGTGATCATGTTCGTGCATTTCCCAATCAATCAAGTCGACGACGTCACCACCGTAACGAGGAGAACGAGGAGCAGGAGACCACGTGTTCGTTAATTGAAAACTCATTTCTTTGGCACTGCCTGTTGTTGTTGTGTTGAGTTTGCGCCTCCGATTAGCACGGTTGGCTACGTACGGTGCGAAAGAAGTTCAAGATACATGGAGGAAACCCAGGCTACCTTCTGGATAGGCGTTATTCGTCTTCGACGTTGGGACGTGTTCTAGGGGGGGGGGGGACTAAAATTCTGCCGGGTCTGTCCAGGGTCGTTAACCTGGATAAAGTCGTGTGTGTGTGTGTGCGCACGCGGTCCACCACATCCAGTATGCCTCTCACGACAGCCGTGGCCAGAGATTTCGGCACGTACCATCTATTCCAGTCTACAAAAGCGATCCGGAGATTGTTCAGTGAGAAGAGTCAAGCTCCGTGACTGCGAGGAACAGCTCGTGATGAGATTCTCCCAACAGGAACGATGCGTACTGTCCCCCCCCCGTCACCCTCCTCTTCAACCCGGCGATCCCAAACAACTGCACAAATAAACAATGACATTTAATTGGTGGAATTATTTTCAGCCGATTTATAAAAACGCCAGTTCCGCTGGTATTTAAGTGGTCTCTAAATCCGTTTGTGGACCCTTCCCTAGGTAGGCTCAACCCTAAATGTAGTCCGTACAGTCTATACAATCGACCCTTCTTACGTCGAGTCCGCTCGCATAGCTGCTCGCTAACGGCACGATTACTCAACTCAACATGCTTCCTATTCAGCCATGGTATGTGTCCTGTCTTGTGTGTGTGTGTGTATTTCGGTAAAATATTCATAGAATAAAACTAATTAGGACTGGGAAGACAAAGGCGGCCGGGATTTGTACCACGCCGCTAATAGGTTCTCGCTGTTAGAACATGCCACAGTATTCTCTAAGGCGAGCCAGAGGGCAGTGTGTGTGTGTCTGTGTGTCTATGTCTGTGTGTATATCGATGTCTGTGTGTGTGTGTCTATGTGTCTGTGTGTGTGTGTCTATGTGTATGTGTGTGTGTCTATGTCTGTGTGTGTGTCTATGTGTATGTGTGTGTCGATGTCTGTGTGTCTATGTGTATGTGTGTGTCTATGTCTGTGTGTGTGTCTATGTCTGTGTGTCTATGTTTGTGTGTGTGTATATGTCTGTATGTGTGTCGACGTCTGTATGTGTGTCTATGTCTGTGTGTATATCGATGTCTGTGTGTGTGTCTATATCTGTGTGTATGTGTTCATGTCTGTGTGTGTGTCTATGTCTCTGTGTGTGTCTATCTGTGTGTGTCTATGTATGTGTGTGTATGTGTGTGTGTCTATGTCTGTGTGTGTCTATGTTTTTGTGTGTCTATGTCTCTGTGTGTCTATGTCTCTGTGTGTAAGTGTGGGGAGCGGTGACACAGCGATTAGCGCGCTGCGCTACGACTCACCCGGCCACCCGAGGTCGCTTCTCGCTCACGGCAAACAACACCGGTGACGATTATCTGCACCGGTCATGGGCCTCCCCTAGGTCGACTCAGCCTCAAATGAGTACCTGGTGCGATGTGTAAGCATCGCCACTGGGGAGACAAAGGCGACCGGGCGTGGCGCTGGCCATCCACCCCCTCGTGTACCGTACCGGCCTTCAAAGCTGCTACTCGCTAACAACACTTGCCCCAACAGTCTGTTAAGGCTATAGGGGGGATCTTTGCCTTTTTACCATCGCTACCAAGTGTGAAGTCGGTGCAACTGCAACCGATACCCACGTGCCAGAGAGGGCTCAGGCATCGGGCTACGAAGAGTGGGGGGGGGGGGCATTTAACAGACGGGGGGGGGGGGGGGGGGGAGGCTTTAATGATTTGATCCCTTGCACCAGGGTCCATGCAAACCGCGCTGGCGCTGTGAGTGTGGATGGAGCACGGTGGGTTGGGTTGCCGGTGCTGTTAGCGAGCGCCTATTCAGGGCGGCAGGGCGCACGAGGTGCGTATGGGAGCCGGGAGGGATGAGGGGGAGGGATGAGGGAGGGTGAGTAGGGGGGGATTGGGGTTGATGGGGATGAGGGAGGGATAAGGGAGGGGGAGGGATGAGTAGGGGGGGATTGGGGTTGATGGGGATGAGGGAGGGATGAGGGAGCGATGCGGGAGGGAGGAGGATGAGGGATGAGGGAGGGAGGGGGGGCAGGGTTTATTTTTGAGGCGGAGCGCGGAGCCGAGTCAGAGAGGCAGCGATGATCCTCGCGAGGGCGGAGAGGATCGCAGTCGTCTCCAACAACGTCTCCATCTGTGTCCCGTCATCATCCTCGTCGTCGTCATCATCATCGTCGTCATCTGCGTCATATTAATAGTCATTCTTCACATATTCTTAATTTCCAACCTCTCTTCTGAGTTCCATCAATCTCTTCGTCATCTCCATCATCATCGTCATTATCTGCTGCGTCCCTTTAATCAGCGTCCCGTCGTCATCATCATCATCATCAGCAGCATTCCCTTGTTGATCAATCTCCTTATCTTAAGTCCTTCATAATCATCCTCATCCGCTTGACTTCGTCCTCCGATTCATGCATCCTCATCTCATCCTCCCTCCTCCTCCTCACATTCACAATCCGCTTCATTCAGCTGTTATTCACCATCTTCATTCTCATTCCTCCTCCTTCTCTACAACTTCCTGATCCTCCTCGCTCCTCATCATCCTCGTAATCCTCTTCATTTCCATCATCCGACAGTCGTCTCCATCGTCAACTCTGTCTTCATATGAATCCTTCCAATCTCCCTCCTCTGCCTTGTCATTAGCGTCGTCATTTCGCCCTCCTACACTTTTATCTTTATCCGAGTCACATTCATCATCCTCGCAACCCCTCTCCTCTTCCTCCTCCAACCGAACCAGTCTGTTCTTCTTCGCGGAGCAAAGATCTCGACCTCGCCAAGTCCCGAGTTGGGAAGTCCGCGAACCCTTTTCAGGGACACTAGGACCCCTCTGCAGAAACTCAGGTGCCCTCTGTAGGGGCCCAGGTGCCCTCTGTAGAGGCCCGTTGCTCCTCGGCAAGGACCCAGGAACTATCTCTAAGAAACCAGAACCCCACTGCAGGGCCCCAGGAACTATCTCCAGGGTTCCAGGACCCCTCTGCAGGTACCCAGGACCCCTCTGCAGGAACAAGGTTCCTTCTGCAGGGGCCCAGGACCCCGAAGACCATGCGTCCCCGCGGCGAGAGCCACTCCTCCTCGCCCGCGGCCCCCATGCGGCGGGAACCTCTCATCCCGGCGCGGCTCCACTGAGGGAGACGAAGCGGGCAGCGGAGAGGGGCCCTGGTCTGGAGAGGCGTTGGGCATGGGCAGGCGGGGCATGGCCGTGCTGCCCCGGGGCAGCCTCGCCTGCCCTCTCAAGAAGCTGCGGAAGCGCGCACGGGCACTGCTGCTGCTCCTGCTGCTGCTGCTCGCAGCTGCGGGAGCGATAGCCACGTGGGCTGCGGCGTGCGCCGAGGAGACGAGAGGAGAAGCAGGAGGAGAGGAGGAGGAGGGCGCGAGAGGTACGATGTTGGGATGACTGACGAGCATCGGGGATTGGGGGGCACCATGACAAAGATCCCCCGTATAGCCTGAGCAGACTGTTGGGGCAAGTGCTGTTAGAGATTCAAATAGTCGCCGCCACTGTTATTGTTCGTGAGCGGGAATCGAACTCGTGTCGCCGGGTTAGTAGCATCGCAGTACGCTAATCGCTGTGCCACCGCTCCCGATATTGGGGAGTGGAGGGAGGGGCACACAGAGACAGGCAACCTGTACCCCCACCCACACACACCCACGACAAAGATCCCACGTGTAGCCTGAACAGACTGTAGGGGCAAGTGCTTTTAGCGAGCACCTATGAAGGTCAGAACAGTACACGAGGGGGTGGGTGGCCAGCACCACGCCCTACCGCCTTTGTCTCCTCAGTAGCGATGTTCACACACCGCACCAGATACTCATTAGGGGCTCAGTCGACCTAGGGAAGGTTCAGATATTCGTTATGGGAGTTGGCCGTGAGCGGGAATCGAACCCAGGTCGCCGAGTTTATAGCGCAGCGCGCTAACCCCCCCACAACCGCCACACCCCCAAACTCCCACACCCCCAACACCCCCACACCCCCCACGTGAACACGAACCGCACGCGTGTGGAGTCGCGGGCGGACATCGCTTTGCCACTGCGAGGCGGCCAAGTTACTTCGTAAAAAGAATCATCGTTAATATTATATGTTAATATTATTATCATTTTCCCTCTTGTTTACCAAGGCGAAGGCTCACCGAATCTCGTGACGCGGTTTTTAAGGAGGGTTCCTGACAGCTTTTAGCAGCAGTCTGACGATCATTGATGATGCTGGTAGTGGCGTCGTTTTTGTGATGGCGATTTGGTAATTGTGATGATGATGATAGTATTTGTGATCATGATTTGGGAATTGTGATGATTGTTACTTGGCAGTTGTGATGGTAATAATTATAATAACGTGGTGATGATGAGGTGGTATGAATGATGATGATGAATGAGGTGGCATGAATGATGATAATGAATGATGAGGTGGTATGAACTATGATCATGATGACGATGGAGGTGGTATGAATGATGATGAGGTGGGATGAATGATGATGATGAATGAGGTGGCATGAATGATGATAATGAATGATGAGGTGGCATGAACTATGATCATGATGACGATGGAGGTGGTATGAATGATGATGATGAGGTGGGATGAATGATGATGATGAGTGAGGTGGGATGAATGATGATGATGAATGAGGTGGTATGAACTATGATCATGATGACGATGGAGGTGGTATGATGATGATGAACAATGCAGAGTCACCTCGTTATTCTTTAATTGACACCACGGTGACGTCACTGGTGCCTGTTGGCGATGTCACGAACGTCTTCACGTCTCGCCGCATGGATCTGCAATCTCGTGGCACGCGGCCCAGGCCACGCGCGGCCTTGGGTGTGCAGCTGCACCATAAGAGCCGCTTCTGTCGCGGTGAAATGAAGGAGACCGTGAGCGAACGCGTGTGGACCCAAAATCGCGATGTCATCACCACCACCACTAAAGAGAAAGATCCCCCGTATAGGCCGTAACAGACTGTTGGGGCAAGTGCTGTTAGCAAGCACCTATGAAGGCCGACACGGCACACGAGGGGGTGGGCAGCCAAGACCACGCACGGTCGCCTTTGTCTCCGCAGCGGTGATGTTTACACACCACACCAGGTACTCAATTGAGGCTTAGTCGACCTAGGAGAGGCCCATGACCGGTTCAGATAATCCTCATTGGCGTTGGCCGTGAGCAGGAATCGAACTCGGTTTTCCGGGTTCGTAGCGCAGCGCGCTGACCGCCACCACCACCGTCAGGGTGGGATCGAAACCACGACCTCCTGTATACCTGGCGAAGGAATTAACATCTCGCTACCGCGGCGAGAAAGATACCCATGTGCTCACACCGAGAGACCCAAGGTTCACACACAGACGCCTACATAGAGACCCATACACTCATAAAGAGATACTCAGAATCACACAGAGACGCATAGTCAGAGAGAGACCCATACACTCGCACAGCAGCATCAGCGGTCGGAACACCTGAGGTCAAATGCCAACAGCTGCAGTTCGAGTCAAGAGTCCAGCTCTGCTGCCTCAAATGCCCTCTTCTTTACACTCAGACCTGCAAGTAATGGAAGGTGTTCATGAAGTAATGACAAGGCATTCATTAACCCCCACCCCCTTTGCATGTGAAGGGCTCACAAGTGACGTAATCACATCTATCCGTCGATTTAAGGAACGAAACTGGAGGATTTCTCCACAGCATCTGGCTGTCCGCCTGATGAAGCTAGTTGTAATTATTGGCGAAATGTCGTACTCAGATTGTGAATATTGTGGCTTGGCTCTCCAACACACCGGTTAGTGCTGTACGAGTGACGAATTGGCCACGTTCTGTTTACGTGACAACCCTCTAATATTGATGAAAGAAGTCTTTCTGAAGGTTTTTGTTTTTGCGAACGAGATGGAGACAGTGAATGCAGCTGCAGGGAGACCTGCACCGGACGACTGAATCATCACAACCATAGCCGGCAGTCATTGCTGCATGGACGAGCATCCGTGTCGCAGTGCAGACACCACGCGTCGTGGTGTCTCTGCTGGTGTCTCTGCTGGTGTCTCTGCTGGTGTCTCTGCGTGGACACAGCGGACAGGGTGCGGTGTTGCGAACCCTGTGGCCCGAGTTCGATTCCCGTTAACAGTCACCACCAGTACACGATGATCTGAACGAGTCCTGAGCCTCCTCTAAGTTGACTCGGACTCAGATGAGTACCTGGTGCAGCGTGTAAACATCAGCACTGGGGAGACAAAGGCGGCCGGGCGTGGTGTTGGCCACTCTTCTCCTCGTGTGCCGTTCCGGCCTTTATAAGTGCTCGCTAACAGCACTTGCCCCAACAGTTTGTTAAAGCTATACAGGGGATCTGTGTCTTTGTATATCTGCGTGTGTGTGTGGTGTGTGTGGTGTGTGTAAGTACGTGTGTAGTACAAAGGGCGTATTAATAAACGGCGACCTTGGGGCGGTATTAATGCTGACGACCTTGGGCAGCATTCATTTGCAGCTTCGCGCCTCACTCTGCACATCCCACGTACACACGCACACACGGCGATCGTGCGTGCGTGTGTGTGTGCGTGCGTGCTGATGAGGGCGTGCAAGTGGGACAAGCGGTGTGTGTGTAGTTTCCACTCGCACGCCCTCATCATCAGCACGCACACACCCCGTGGCCGTGTGTGTGTGGGTGCGTGCGTCGATGTGCTCGCTAACAGCACTCATCCCAACAGTTTGCTAAGGCTACACGGGGGGTCTTTGTGTGTACACACACGCAGCCACTGCTGCATGATGGCCTCCCCGTGATGTGTTGTTTCGCAGGGGTTGTTGGACCAGGGTTCAATTTCTCACGCGATATTTCCCAGCACGCTGCTGCTGGGTTGAAGGAGGGATTCATGGCGTAAGGCACTACCACTAGAGTACAAGCTACAGCTATCACATGTCACCAATGGGGAAGATGAACACAGCATTCTGGACTCTTCCGGCAAAAATTGAGCACAGTGTTTGACCATACTTCACCGCGCTGGTCAATGAACACGTGTGTAATCTCATTCGCATAACAACCATTCTCAATCCACCGCTGGATGCAGGTCTCTCAACCGCCAATCAATTGCATCTCATTGCTGTGTGTTATATATTTGTTTGCAAACGTCGTTCCGTCTCCCCCTAATTAGATTCCAACAAGTCGGCACCACAGCGTCCTACACAAACACAACACCTATCATAAACACACACACACGGACAATGACAGATTCCCCGTATAGCCTGTAATAGACTGTTGGGGCAAGTGGTGTTCGCGTGCACCTAAGAACGCCTGGAACGGCACACGAGGGGGTGAGTGACCAGCACCACGCCCGGCCGCCTTTGTCTCCCCAGTAGGTGATGTTTACACACCGCAGCAGGTACTCATTTGAGACAGAGTCTACCTAGAGGAGGCCCAGGACCGGTTCAGATAATCATCGCTGGTGTTGGCTGTGAGCAGGAATCGAACTCTGGTCGCCGGATTCGTAGCGCACCGCGCTAAGCGCTGCACCACCACTCCCCACGTACACAAAGACACACGAACACACAGAGATCGTGCCGTCTCTGATGTCAACCACGCACAGAGTCCCTGACTCACGACTGCGCGACCAGCCTTCATCACCCCTGAGCTGGGCACATTCCCTGACCGTCCCGCTCTCTCCCATCCCCATCCTTCTGTGCGCCACCAACCCCGTGTCGTTCCCAGGGGTCGGGAGGTCAGACAGCGTGCGGGGCAGAGTACGAGACGAGACGAGAAGCGGCGGTCCAGTCTCTCACCTCTCAGTGAGTCTTGCCTTGACACCAACACAACCACCACCTACCACGTTGTCTACCACCACCACCACAACCGATGTCAGCCACAAAGCGGTGGTGAAATCACCACGGCGCTTGTGCAAAGCTAAGAGGCACATTGAGGCACACTGTCTCTACCACCACAACCACGCCATCTTTACCACCAACCTTCCGATGTTGCTGTTCGCGGCACGAGTTCAAGGCGGTTTGGGAAATCGATAGCGCAGAGGAAAGTTGCATCTCCTCTCGACCATGACAAAAGTGTTCTCACGCCCATGCATTTCTAATGACCCCACGGGACGCGCTGGGTCGGGCTCGGCGCTCCGGTGAGCCACGCGGCCTGGGAGCCTCGACTTGTGGACGGGCGTCCACCGACTTCGTGAGGAGCAAACAGAAGGCAGGAACAACAACAGCAACACGAACAACAAGAACAACAATTACAAAAAAATGCATAATTCCTCTCCCCGCACTGCCCAACCACTCCCCCCCCCCCCCGAATATCACCAACCAGCACTGCTGACCAGCGTGGTGAAGTATGGTCAAACAAAAGCCCCGTGATTGACACTGCACACGGGGAGGCATTCATCCATCAGTGGCCTGCCAAAAGGGTCCTGTAAATTACGTTGAATATTTTATTCTTCGTCGGATGCAAAAGCAAGTATCCTCTAAGGAATCTCTTTTAAAAATGCATTCACGGCAGGCGGACGAGTGGGAGGGGAGCGTGGATGATGTCGCGGACGGTGAATTACGCGGGGGGGGGGGGGGTGCGTTGATGCACCGGAGGAGAGTTATTAACGCCCGCGTCCACTCATCTCGGCTGGGATTATCGCCAGCACGAAGAGACGGCATCGCCGTTTGTCGCACGGACCCCCGGCGGCGCAGCGCGGGCCACTCTCATTAACCTCCCGTGCCCCCCCCCCATTCCCCCACCCCCCCGGGGCTTCGTGCCCCCCCCCACCCCTTCCTCCATGCGTCTGCGTGACGCGAGCATCTGAGTTCATCTGAGCGACTGGCAGTAGTAAGCAGCATTGCAAGCGCGGTAGAAGCAGATAAGCGCGTGGGGGTGTTCGCCCTCCCCCACCACCCCCTCCCGACAGAAATTGTTTTAGAGAGCCGATACGAGCAGGCAGTGACATTCGCGCGAGATGTGCACGGCAGGGGGTGGTTCTTTCCGTACAAAATGAACTCACGTTAGCCACCTGCAAATCAAAGATGGCCACCATTAAATTTCGATTTAAAGCTTTCGTGACTGCAGGGATTCATATTCTTGGTTCTTTCGGTAAAGTCACGTAGAAGGGAAATAATAAAATAACACAAATATAAAACAATAAAAATTCTCACGACGTTTCGAATGCAACACAAGCAATCATCATCAGGTGTGAAATCCACAGCAATATATATTTTTTCCCTTCTACGTGACTTTACCGAAAGAATCAGTATTATGGCCACCATTGTTGGGTGGCGGCCATGTTTTATTTTGGCAGTCATCTTAGATGTTTAGGTTCGGTCGATGCGAGTCTATGGGTTTTCGTGTGAGTCTATGGGTCTCTCTGTGCAAGTCTATGTGTCTCTCTGTGCGAGTCTATGGGTCTCATTGTCTGAGTATTTTGGTCTTTCTATGCGAGTCTATGGGTCTCTCTCTTCGAGTCTATGGATACGTGTGAGTTTATTGATCTCTCTGTGCGAGCCTATGCGTCTCGGTGAGTCTGGTGGAATACTCTTAGACCCTAAGAGGTAATACCTGCCGGGGTAGGCGCTTGTGTGTCCGTTAGAGCGAGTATTCCCGCTATCCGCTTCCCAAGCGCGTGTCTGTGCGTCAACTGTGCTCAACCCAACCAACCTCGCTTTCAAAGGTGGCAGGTGCAGGCTGCGGACTGGATACCGTGCAGGAGAAATTCAGACGTTTCGAATGTGGGCGCGGCAAACGTCTGGCGGCAAAACTCACGAATACACCACGTGAAACAAATGCCTTACTAACACAAAACACAATACTTTATATTTAGATATATATAACGTTCACCGAGGACAGGCACAGGAATATATTTTTCACCCGGCACACCAATTTTTTTTTTTAGATCTGCTGTTTGTGTTTAGTTTTTTGTCCTTCCTCTGAACCTCCGATTAGCACGGGTGGCTATGTACAGTGCGAAAAAAGTTCAACATACGTATCGAGTATAATACCGCTCGCTATGAATGTGGCTACTAAGGTAGCACAACGTGCCACTTACTCCTGGGGAAGGTATCCAGTGAGCTAAGAATCCCTGGGCACGCCGCATCCAGGATACCACTCACTATGGCCGTGGCTCCCACGAGCCACACTGCCACCCCTACTCCAGTCGTCCAGAGCGGCTAGGACATGTACCCGGTGAGTAACGGGGGGGCCTGGTTGGGCACAAACACGCGCATGGAATGGAGATCGGCGCTGAACCCGTAGCGGGGGGGGGGGGGGGGGGTGTCATCTTTGCTTGGAGCGTCCATCGTGCTCGTGAGGGTCTCGTCTCGCGTTCATTCTGGCTGGGGCGTCTGTGGGTCCCGATCCTGGCCACGCGTGCCCACCCCACCTTACCAACCTGACCCAGGCCCTCGCCCTCCCCCCAGCTATTGCTGCAGTGACGTTGGCCTACAACAACCGCATTGTGGTGGCCGTCATCGTTCTGTAAGCAGCAGCGTAGTGACGACATTGTCAGCTTAGGGGGTGCGGCAATTGGTCAGGTGGGGCCCCAATATTTGATTTGTCTCTCGCACGGTCGCACCTAGGGCTGCTCTTATTATATATCGCGGCTCATTTTGTCTAATCACATCATTACGCTCACGGTCTCTGATATTTAATGGTGTAGAGGCACTCTGTCTTCGAAAAAATATCTCATGGTGGTTGTCAAGTGGGCTCCAACTCGTAGCTTTGGCCACACCTGGCTTAATTTCTCACCATATAATTTCACTCGACCCCTCTGGCCTCTCTATGCGCTGTGAAGACGGGCGGTTGCCTGAAACGTCGCCTATTATGTATAATAGTTTATTTTATTTTATTTAGAATGCCACTGGCGTTATTGACTAACGTGTTTTGAGTTCATACATGGTGCTTCAAAAAATGTTAACACTTACATGAGACTATCGTTTTCAATGGGAAAAGAACGGATAATACACTGCAACATTTTTCGATTTAAAGCTTTCGTGACTGCAGGGATTCATCTTCTTGTTTCTTTCGGTAAAGTCACGTAGAAGGGAAGTAATAAAATAATAAAAATAAAACATAATAAAACAATTCTCACGACGTTTCGGCTACAACGCAAGCAGCCGTCTTCAGGTGAAGAATGAGACACTACCAAACTAGGAGCTTATATATAAGCTGCATTGGGGGTTGAAGAGCGCCTTAACAAAAAGAATGTGCATATGAAGAGGAATTTAGCATATTCATGGAAAATGCGTAGGCGTTGGGCGGGGGGGTGTCAAAGTCATATTATGCCCATGCATTATGCAGGATCAGCAGCAACCAAGGGGGGTGCATGGATTAGCAGTAACAAAGGAAAGGAATGTTAATGATATGTAGCTGCAGTTACTCAACAACCACGTAGAAAACTAAAGTATAAACTACATAAAAAACTAAAGTATAAACTGCATCGCACCATCAGTATACTTACTATACTCTATAATAAGCTGAGTTACTAACAGCAAGTAATACATTACAATTCTACCTCGTAAAAATTCTATAATATGCTTCCATCTAAACCTTATTCTCTTATATCACACGAGCATATACCGTACTATATACTGCCATAGATAAACCCAACATTAAATTATATACTGTATTGCTGTAAACCAACCTATATCTTATACATTTAATATAACACTATGTATTATTCTACACACCCTAATGTGTATCGAAATGGTTTATTACGTCCTTCCAATGATTGCTGAGCCAGAATCCATCTTCTCGGTTAAAATTGTCTCTGTGTTTGTATATGTGGATCGCCTCATGAACGAATCTCTCATGATAGCCAGATGGCTTGCAGAGAACCTCTGTCTTGGAGAAGTCGATATCATGTGAGCCCACTGAGTTGTAACAGTGATCTGCCACGGCTGAGGTGTTTGTCCTACCGTGTTTCAGGTCAGCTTTATGTTCACGGATGCGGTCCGAGACATGTCGTTTGGTTTCCCCAATGTAACTGCTACCACAGAGGCAACTTAGTTTGTAGACGCCAGGGTACTGTATGTCTGGAACCACATCTTTCACAGACGGTACCAGATCACGGATTTTATGTACTGTGTTGAATCGGACCTGGATCTTGTGTTTAATCAGGATTTTGGAGATCTTTTTTGTGACTCCAGCAATGTAGGGTAAGGTGATGGTCTTGAAAGGCTCCTCAACAGGATCCTTCTTGATGGTTGGAGTGATGGCTTTGCGGATTGTATAGTCGGAGTAACCATTTGCCTTAAGAGCTTGGCGTACGTGTTTGAGTTCACTGGAAATGTGTTCATGGTCGGAGATGCATTGGGCTCTATGATATAGAGTCTTGATGAGGGAATTCTTCTGGGATGGATGGTGGTGGGAATCCGGTTTTAGATAAGCATCCGTGTGGGTGGCTTTCCTGTAGACAGAGTGGCTCATTGAACCATCAGGTCTCCTTTTGATTAGGACATCCAAAAAGGGTAGCTTGCCATCATTTTCGACTTCCATGGTGAATCTGATGGCTGGGTGTATGGAATTGATGTGGTCGAGAAATTGGTCTAGAGCAGGCCGGCCATGTGGCCAGATGACAAAAGTGTCGTCTACGTACCTCTTCCATAAGGTCGGGCGTAGAGTGGCAGTCTGGATAGCGTCCGTCTCAAATTTCTCCATGAAGATGTTGGCTACAACCGGAGATAGGGGGGAGCCCATTGGGGTGCCCTCAATTTGCTTGTAGAAGGTTCCATTCCAGGTGAAGTATGTATTGGTTAAGCAGTGTTTCACCAGGGGGGGTACCCCAGCATTCAGTCCTTGATGAACCAAGTCT